ACCGAACATATTGGAGTAACGAGAGCTAGAGCTATTTACATACAAAAGTTCGAATTTACATTTATGTTAATAGCTTCTTAGCATACCTGCTTTTATATCACTTTTTCATAATGGCCAATTAGAAAAGGAGAATTTAAGCAATATGTTATATTCCTAGGTGGTGCCGCAAACCATTTTTGATCGAGCAGCCTTATATTCTGGAGCGCTTAGCTACGAAGAAAACATAGTTTCAACTTGTGTTTTTGGCAACATAATGACTATATTTAAAGAATGCGGTGTCAACAATGTCAACCTTTTATCTATGATTTTTTGCCGAAGCAGCCGCGCAGGCCTAAATGCCGAGACACCGCGGCTGCTATGAGGATCCCAAATAAATTTAGTTAATCCGATTTTTGAACTGTCTAAAGTAGACCTGTTACTATGCATACACTCTATCGCTGCCTTGGAGCCTTTGGACTTTTTTCAAACAGTCCACAGTTAGTGCTTCCTCTGACTGCGGACCACTGTCGTCGACGTTTGAACTGGAGCAGAGAACCGCAGCATTGGGAGGCAGAATGGCATAATGTTATCTTCAACGATGAATCTCCATTCTGTCTTGGTAGGCATGATGGTTGTGGAAGGGTAAGACGCCGCCATGGATTTCGGCATTAGAAGTACGACTGTTCCAAAAATCCAAATTTTGCAAATATATTGTGCCTAGTTGCTCCAATTATTTATACTCCAACGTAAAAACCGTTTTTACTACTTGACGTCATTTATAACCATGACTGAATTATAGGATGTTGAGACATCCATCGCTGTCCGTTGACTGATTGCCTCTTTCGCCCTCTGGGCGGGCATTTATGCACGAATCGGCGAGTCTTGAAGCGTCCCACGTTTTCTAGATAGAAGATTCGTCTTTGAAGCTGGTAGATGGCGCGCGATTTCTCTTGATGCGTGTTAAACGCTCAAGAAATCAAACGCGAGCGCGCTTCATATATGGCCGCATAATTCTGGTTATCTAAGCGTCAATGTTACAAGGACGGCTCATTGGTAGCCCAAAGTTCTTGTTTACGAGGGCTCTTCAATACTCCAAATAGAATCCCAAATTTTCGTCATGACTACATTTCAAGTGCCAAAGTTCTTCGTGGTATAATAATAGGTGAATAAATAAAACTATGGTTTTGTAAGTAATATGTATATTTCATTAAATTGGTGATATGTTAGGTTGATGTTACAATTTTGTTAATATCATATACGTAATATATTATTCTAAACAAAATTAAAATAAAATACTAATCGTCAGATAAAATACTACTCAATACTTACATAGATACAATCCAATCAATATCTCTAAAATTAACAATAATTATAAAATATAGTCAACATTTGCAACAAATTACATATACATATAATTCTATATGTAGTATGAGAATTATTTTCATCTTTGTACAACTCAAAAATAAACTGAACAATAATTGTATGTGACATAAATTGTATCCATACCGTAAATATATTTGAGGCAAAAATCCTAGCATTCAGTGCTATGCACTAAGTTTTCTGTATACAAAAAACTACGAAGGTTAAATTTTACTTGGTGTAATACAGATGAATGCATATTCAATCTCAATATGAAAAACTCAACTCAAATTACTCTTAGCCCTTGATCTTTACAAAACAAATTTCACTGGGGTCTCAGCTGCAAACAGTATGAACAATAATAGCAATTTAGCTAAAAAATATGACAAAACGTAGCGATGGTATGTGATAAAATATCCGCATGTTAATTTTGAAAATATACTCAATTATGGTCATTTTAATAATTTTGTGTTGTACAAAGATGACATTTCTCCTTAAACATCAAAAATGAGAAAAAACTGAAACGAAGGTAACTTTTTTAAATGTTCGTTCATTTTTTGGATTATTGTACATGGTTCCTTGACTAGCCACTTTATACTTTGGGCGCTATACATAATACATTGTATAATTATTTTAACAAATAGTCGGTATTCAGATATTCCTATTGGAATCACGTGTATATAAGTTACATTTTGATTTTTCCATGATTTCGGAACTTATTTGCAATCATATTCTTAAGATTTTTAAAAACACAGAATGCCTCTTATTTGTGATTGCATTGGTCTCTCTAACATGACTGCATTGTAACATTACTAAAATCGATGAATAGACGAAAAATATATGTCTTAAATATTGATAATTGTTATTCCTAAAGATCGACTCTCAATCGTATTTGTGTTTTCCTTGACCAACAATGGCACAGAATCAAAATTATTACAAAATCAGTAATCCTACAGAAGTAATGTCACAGAATGTATTTTAGTTAAAAACGATAAGTTAGCAGCCATGTTGGACCAAAGCAAAAATGACTTGTATCTGGGGCATCCCGCGTTCAAAAATGCCAAGTTCAACAAATTCCAACAATAGATACCAAAATTTATGGAAAAGTTGGACAACACCTACAACGAAATTCAACATTTTCTACAAATTGATTCCAAACTTATTTTTTTAAAATAAAACGAAAGCATATACAACAAGTAAAACAGTTTTTTTTCTACAAATTGATTCCAAACTTATTTTTTTAAAATAAAACGAAAGCATATTCAACAAGTAAAACAGTTTTTTTATTTTGTTCTGGAAACAAAACTCCAGAAATGTTATGTTTTTAAAAGGTTCACAAAATTTTTTATAGTCCAGTAACTTTAAGATGGTACTCCTTGTATAAATCATATGTAATAACGAAAAACGATTTGTTTCTATGCAAAAATGCAGATTTTCAAATATAATATGAATATGTGTTAAAGTCAATACGTAATATAATGACCGAAGTCCATTTATTTAGAACATTTCCAAAAAACACCACCAGTTCAAAAAATGTCTTTAAGTGTTAAGGAATTAGAAAGAAAGCAGATATGGCAATTTTAATATATAAAATCAAATACCAATGCAAACACTCCTTAGTATCTCATATGGTCAGTATAGCACCTCATCTAAAGTCACAACTAATTATCTACACTAAAGCATCAGTCTTATACTTTCAAATCCACACTCAATCCCTTAACAAGCATCATATAGTTGGAAAAGCTGTAGTATAGTTACGAAGCTCGAAATTCGTTTTTCATCTTAATACCAATGACGCGATGATATATTCGTTTCTTAAAATGTCCTTACAACTTTTTCTGAAACTGTAGCAGAACATCAACTATCGAACTGATCAATCAAGAAAGCATCCACTATTTTCAAGTGAAGCACCTAGGCATAATATATACAGGGTGTTCCAAAAGCTAGGAAAACATTTTAAGGGACGATCCTTCGTTTCATCTGAAGTAAAAAAAACTGCATGTGGACCTATGACTTGAAAAAACACCTTTCACTTCCTACGCCACTGGCGAGGAATTATTGTATCATAAAAAATGTCTAAAATAGGTTTGGACGCTAATCCTTCACCTACTCGGACGAACGACGAATAACCTTTTTAGTTTTTGAAAATCGATCTTGTGGCGGCGGAGCTGGAGGCACAAACTTGAAATAATAAAAATCACTCAAGCATCTTCGAAACGCTTCTCTCTCTGGCTTGACCGGCGATATAGTCTCCCCTTTGAATATCGTTGTGTCACTACTAAGCTGCCGAGTCTGAAGAGTGGATACATGGAACGGTAAGGTATGGCGGAAGGGCGACGTTGCCAGATGGGCGGTACCACCGGTAGGATAGGAAAAAAGTCCGTGTACTAATTGTATGGACCTGTTTGACTGACTTGATCCGTTTTTCATGTTCGTTGCTAACTTTTTCTCATAGAATCTAACTTGTACCTAACATGATCCTCTATGAACTGATGACAGCGTTGCGTGGGAAGTGCAGAGTCAACCTACTTCACGCCATTGTTGTTTATTGTATACTTTAGGTATTTTGACAAAATACGGTAAAATGGGTAAAATAAGGCTCGCCATTGTTTTCTTTCCGTAACAATATTGCTTTTATAATTTTCAATTGCTTTCAAGTAGATCTGACGTTCTTTTCGCTGACATACGGCTTTCGCGGAAAATTAATTGTTTAGTTTTCATTCACGATATCAAAAGCCTCTATCTCAAAACTCAAGATGCCCCCTAAACATTTACCTGACTTTTGGCCTGTAGATTTTTTAAACTGCATCTGGAAAGTATTGCACTATAAATATTTGGAATAAATACTTCGGAAAAGTTACTGGACCATTATGTTTTAAATATTTTCTGTATATATGTTCGTTACACACCTATATTCTTATATGTATAAATACGACTAAAACAATTATAATATATCACATGTTTAAGGAGTATTCAACAATTATTCAGACTTATCTTACATGTATATTCTTATTATTTGGTCACATATTAATCCTAGAAAAAAAATCATAAAACTTAAAGATTATAAAACAAAATGACTAGAAAAACAGTAAAATACTACTTTTTATTTTTCTCTAGCATTAAATACCTTTGGATACATATACATCTATTCAACAAATGTATTAATTTAATAACTACTTTGTTATACTTTCTTTAAGGGTTAATAGTCATTGCAAACTAAAAAAAGTAGATACTCATCCAATATTCATTGGACGTACACCATGTTTAAAAGTTTCCGCACGCTTAAGCCAACAGAAGTCGACACCAGTTGAGGCTAAATCAGAAATATATCGATGGCAGAGCAGACAATAACCCTTTTACGAGTGTAATTTGAAAAATCCTTAGACCGACAATGAAAGACGTTTTTCAGTTAAAAAATTATTTTATTTTTCAACATAATATATATTCATCTACGACGTTCTCAACGTCTTCATCGAACCAGAAGCGCTTGTCAGAAAGAAATATCTCCAAAGGGAATAGTCGGAAGTCTGAAAGTGTCAAATCACGAAAATACGAGTAATAGTCGTGCAAAACATAACTCAAATCTCCCAAATTTCCAATTGCTAACACATGTTTGTGAAAAGTACGTTGTTCTGACAAAAAATAATCTACAAAACATTTCTCTCCCCTCAAACCTACTTAATCAAAGAAGAGGAGGAATAGTGTTCGGCCGTGTTGGTTCCACTATTTTGGCTCTGAGTTCTGCTATTATTTCAGTTGATAAAAGAGCTATATTAAACTGATAAGAGACATACTACCTCTATCAACTACAAGTATCTATACCCTATTTCACGAGTAGACGTCCAAGCATGATGGATACTCGTGAAATAGGCTATATGGATATGTTAGTTGCTGATGACATACCACCTTTGAGGTTATGTTTTGAGAGTCTAGTCGGTGTCAACACGTATCAAGTTGTACTGCTGAAAGTTAAGCTACAAGCCGATTTCTGCCAGCGAGCTGGAGAGAAAAAGACTAGCAGCGACTTCATCTCTGACGAGAGTCCTGGAGGTTATCACTGCTTGGAGACGCAACAATCTGGTAGAGTGTAATGCTTTCAAAAGACAGAAACGCCCTATCGCTCATTCGGTTTCGATGGATTGCCGAGTTCTATCAAAGAACCGTTCATATCGGCTGATCGGAGTTCAGATTACCGAGAACTTAATCTGGCACAAACACATCTGACCAATATCGCCAGCTACTGGGAAAAAGCGAGGCTAAGAAGTGATTTTCTCCACACGACCTTCTCACTGTGTACAATTCCCAGGTAAGACCTAGCGCCGAATACTGCTCACACGTCTGGGGTGGTGTAGCCCCAACTACACTATCCATGCTCGATGTTGTTCAGAAGAGGGCTATCCAACTGATCGATGACTCTTATCTAATGGACAGTCTCGGGACCCTTTCGCACCGGCGGGCCGTCAACGACCTAGCTCTCTTCAACCGCAATACCCAACAGGCTTTGCTCATCCAAGATCTCCTCCGTGATGCCGCCTCACCATGTGCCTGCCAATCAGACCCGCTGAACCGTGTGTGCACCTTAACCGTGTCTAAGTTCGTACATCATAGCTGACCGATACGACCGCTCCTCTGCCCCTAGAGTATCGATAGTGTGGAACAATCTACATAAGGAGACTTTTCCCAGTTCTCCTAACCTCAAGCAGTCCAAAAATTGGATTAACAGGGTATCTTTAAGCTCCTCATAGCAGCCCAGGCATTTAGGCTACTGCCTGTGTGGCAGCATCGGCGTAAAAACATACACGCCATCCCTAAAGGTTGATTTGAGAATTAAAATGCAAAAAAACCGGGACCGCCCTAAATTTCTGCCAATAAAGATAACAGAAAAGTTTGGAGGTTTAACTATAGAAAAGCTAAAACAATCTCAATAATCAAATAAAGTTTGTAGATAAGGAATACTGATGGTATTACGAAGGAGAAGAACAACTGAACTTACCAAATCCAAAGAAGAAAATAATTACACTTTGAACGCGTATCTTTTAATATTGTACACTTTGTTAATATTATGTTTCAAATAATAAAGTAGTTGACGCTTCTTTCTACGTATCTATTATTCTACCTCAGTTTAATTTTCAGTTAATGTACATCTTTTTGCACTTTTTCTAAGAAACTAATAATTTTTCAGTATCCCAAGACTAATTCAATATTTTCTGATTTGAGTCAGAACCATAAACTAAAGGAAAATATATCAAATCAAATAACATTTTCCTAAATAACTCTGAACTTGCATTTTGTGATATAATCCTTCCAACATGAGGAATTTGACAATAGCACGTAATTCAATTTTATCCATCTTGATGGACACCACGCAAGACGTGCACGATAAATAAATCGTGTGAATAAACTACTTGAGAATAAGTTGAAGCTTATCAAACAAATTACATGGACATCCAACAAGGAATTATGAGTTATTGGCTGACTGGAACGTCATTTCTTTGTCAGGCCGAGAACATTTCACCCGATCCTCGTATTTAATTTTATGGTGAGTGTGCAGCTTTGACAAGGATGTAAATTCACAAAAATATATAATCAAAAGTTTTTGTCTGATCAACTATCGCTACCTCTGCGATACATACGGACTTTTTTTACAGTTTATCGGGCTAACCACGGTGGCACCAAAGAGTAGTTATATCAAAAGAAGACGTTTCGATATTTAGTTATCAAAATACTCAAGATTTGACCAGTTTTAATCGTATCATATCAGAACACGATGGTGTAGCCAAAAATTTGCTGTCGGTTCTTGAGCTATTGCTTGACATTGTGTCAATAATACAAGAATTTCGCTCATAAATGACCGAGGCGGTGTTGCCAAGCTTGCAAAATGTTTACAAAACGCTACACTTAGACTGAGCTGAGTTCAGTTCTTTTCCGATTTGTGGTGGTTGTGTCTAAAAGACATACGTAATAAGTGAATATATCGTTTTAATGCCAGGCTGTCTAGATAACAATTATGTCAGGTTTAGGCTGAAAAAAAAAGATTTTCAAACTAACATTTCTTTTTATTATGTTTTCAGGGTAACTTATATATTTCCATGATGCCAAGAGCATTCGTGGAAACTGTTATTTAAAACTTTATTGAAAGAAAAATATATTCCCTAGGCCGCAACTGTATGGTAAATATCCTCACCATGAATTAATGTCGAAACAAAAGTAGATTTGAACAAAATATGCTTCCATTACGAGTGATGGACGATGAGGCCCGTATCGTCAGTCGTACCTAGAATTGAAGGACGCCTTTATGGCCTCCTTGATTTTGATACCATTTTCTCTCCTTCAGAAAAGGCTGAAGTATTATTAGATATCTACTGTTCCGTGTCAGCGTCAGCGCTATTGTAAGATTCTTTTTGAATTTCAGGCTGATATAACAGATGATATAAATCAATAGCATGAACAATTTGATGCAAATAGATATTTGTAACATAATCTCAAAATAGAGCGCTGGCACAGTACAGTAGAAAACTATGAAAATCAAGGAGACCATGAAGGTGTACTACAATTGTAGGAACCACTAAAGATACGGCCTTAAGTTCATCCAAAAAGAATTATCCACCTGGCAACATGGTATTTATCTCTAACAAAATACGTGTTTACAGGCCATCAGCCAGGGGGGTGAAACTCATATGGGCGACTGGGAAACAAAGCAGTGTTGCTGGTACACAATATGACAACCATGTCGCACCCTCAAAAAATGGCAGCGGCAGCTCATTTACAAATGACGTTGTCTGATTGGTCAAATTTAAATTAACCTTATATTTTTCAGCATGCCATTTTTGTAACAATCCATTTTAATTCAATAAAGTCCCTGTTATGTTATTTGAAACATATCCTGTACCTTTTGTTCAGAGTTGTGAAGTATGAAAATGCACACAAAGCTGTAATATATTTGTAAATACCATAAGACAGACCCCAAATCAAAACTGTTTCTTTTAAAGGGTGACCAGTCAGTAGCCAGGCTTCTGACAAATCCTGAGAAAGATCAGAGATAGACGCCAAGTTCTTGGTTACATCTTGGTTATCTCTATCTCTCTCTATCTGACTTTAATTTAGTGGCCTTGTCTGTCTTCTCTAGTTATAATCACTCTTTGGATTTACAATTAGCGGCTGCCTTGGTTTGTGGCTCGAAATTGGCTATTTGAACACTCAATTTGCTATCCCAACTTGTGGCTGCTCTACTAGTTGCTTTCCTGACGTTGACACCGGTGGCCAAATGTACGACAGCCCTATAGTAGTACTACGCAAAGTTAACGTAGATTGAGTTATATTTTTTGCTTTTTGTATAACACAAAACAATGATTAACATTTACGGCTATAAGAAAGGTTCTTTGACTAAGTATAATTACTGGAGTCATAATAAAATTTCAAAAATCTTGATATAATACATTTTCAGTAAAACGAGATTCTAACACTCCTACATAAGTTTCTTACTTGAGTCTTGTTGGTTACGATTTTTTTCATGGTTATTTTGATCTTATACAGTCTATTTATTTTTGGAATGACATGATTCGTCAACCATTCAAATGTTTGATCTTATAACTTCATCAAAGTAGATATAAAGTATAGTTTGCATTTTAAGGATATTAGCAACCACACAAAGTATTCCGAATTTCGTAAAAAAGCTTATAGTCGTCTTTTTATGTGAACAAAGTAACGATTTGTTAAAAATACTTTTGGACAAGCAGTTGCCATTTTCACTTCCACATTAGCTGGACGAGAACTCCAAGCTTTTCAAAAGTGTTGGAATAACAAATTATGAACTCTTTTTACAGATGGCAAATATTTCAACTGTTTCATATCTTCCTTCGATAACATTCAGATACCGTATTTCAAGGAGAGAATACCCTGAGAGTACGCAACAGTGCAGCTAGTACGTTTGCTAGTCTTTCCGCTTGTGCCGTCAAGTGCTCCTCAACTGCTGACTTTGAGGACCAGTCCACCCCGCCAGCAGGTGGAGCTGCTAACAGCTGTCTGAAAGCAGTCGTCACGTCGTATACCTGAAAGAAAAAACATCCCTGAGAAAATGAGGTCAAGTAGTATTTACTACTAATTAATATGAGCCTATTCAGCATCCATGTGACGAGACCATCGGCACGGGTATTATGTAAAAAAAACCTACAAAAAGGTCAAAAAAAAGCTATAAAATGTCATTTTGCAGACTAGGTAGTTTTTAGGGTGCAAACATTCATTCCACGTTTGCTCACCAGGATCGTTGTACTACACGCATTCTTGGTTGCAGATGTTTTGTGAATTCGAGTAGTCTATATTTTCCTCTCTGAGAAGACAGTTGGTTGAATAGCAAGATCGCAACTGGATGATTGTGTGTATTGGGCTGCATATGTATAAAATCAGTGATATTTGCTGTGTGAGAAAATCATTAGTGAATATGCTGCCAATGAAGTATATCTATTAGCTGTGCCCGACGGGTTATTTATATGTTATGTTGTCCTTTCTGAAGACAGTTTATGTTCAAGTCATAATTTTTTTTACATTTTTTTTTTGTTTTTCAAAAATTATGAGGAGAATTACGCGCCCGCGTTTTGTGTAATTACTGTTAGCACATATTATTAGCACACAAATCCTCACTATGCACCTATGAATTGCCGTTACCTCTAGTAATGCCATCTCTGAAGCAGTTTAGGCAACACGTACAACTACAAAAACAAGTTCACAACGTGTCCATCAGGTAATGCTATGTTAACATCTTGTAGGAAAACCTAGATAATGTCACAAAAAACCAATATAATGTCAAAAAAAAATCGATATACTGTCACTTTTCAAGATACGTAATACCTGTGCCGAAGCTCCATTAGTTCAATAATTTGTGAAATACAAGCCAAGTTCAAGACAACTGAGTCCTCTAAAAGTTTCATCAATCAATCATTTTGCATTAGTTTTGGAGAAAGAAATGCAATGTTCAAAGTGATGCAATAGTTACTTTGGAAATAGATAGTTTTTATTCAACATTTTAACGGAACAACATATAAATGTGAATGTCTCTCTAGTCCGTCAGCATCCCGTCTGAACAACACGCGGAAAGAGTACTTGTACACTTGCTAATTTTTTTATCTGAGGAAGGTTATGGACAGGGTATATCGTCGTCGAATTTGCCTATATTTAAATGGTGGAATCATCCGGACACCCCAAAGAATTGGAAACCACGCATTTTTTGGACAAAAGGTTCTAATGAAAGATTGAGATTAACAAAACTGACCTCTGAGGTCGCTGTCTTGGCCATATCAATTTACAGTCAAATCGCATTTCAGATATCCAAGAACCTTTTATCCAAAAAATGAGTAGTGGTCAGGTTTTCGAAGTGCTCGTTTACTTCTCCCACGTTACAGAAGCAGCTTATACCAATTGAAATATTCATAACCAATTGACGTCATATACGAAAATGCATCCTGACTCTGAATCTGCCGACAAAGATGGTGGCTGCCATTTGAATTTATAAGCAACGTTGTGATCTAGCCAGCCGCCCCACCGACAGTACCGATCACCCAGCAACGTGGCAACTCTGCGTGCCGTAACACTCGCAAATGCAGCACGACGTTGCGTACACATATACATGATCCGTTATCCCTCAGCAGTCGCAACAGACAGACATACGCTAACGAGTTGTCCGTCACGCGTATGTTGAAAATATATCTCTATTATTCAAGTTTTGAGGGCAATATACGGGGAAATCTATGATGTATGAAATATGCATAAAAGGTGCGGAGAGTTACTGTGGTTAGAAAGATATAAATTGCTAGCACCAAGAAATTGATGTATAGTCAACCACCCTCTACCGCCCCCACATCCAATTTTTATTGCCTACAAAAATTTTGAAACGTCAAAAATGAGTGACATGGTTTTTCGTGATGTACATGTCATATAACATCTAAAAAAACTATACTATCTCAGTTTCGGACATTTTTGCGATTACAATACTTCCTCGCCAGTGACGTAAGAAGTAATTATGCTTGAGTTTTACTTAATATCTTACCTTCATAATCAGGTTTCTAGTCTGCAAAGGCGCTGTAGCATGGTCAGCCATATCTGCGCAAAGAGACGATAGACGTCGCAATAAGGCTACACAAACGGCCAGGTTTTCGGAGAGGCTGCTAGCGTTGGTCGCATCGTCAGATCGCGCAGCAGAAGCAGGTTCAGTTGAGGATGACAGTGCTACCACCAGCACTTTGCTTGATGTTACTAGTTGAAGAGATTGTTGGGTTAGCTCTTCCTTGGCTCTCTGAAAAGCAAATACAATTATTAGCCAATAACCGTGATGAATCTTGGTTGTGCCCTTGATTGTTCTGTCATTTGCCCTCATTACACAGAACATATCGTAAAATAGGATTGAGACACTCAACTATTTTATGGTCCAACATCAAGTATTATAAATGTAATTCAAATAAAAGTAAATAGTTTAATATGATATTAAAAACGTGCCCTACGACCTTTCTGACGTCGAGTAAGTTGACTCTGCACTTCCCAAGTAACGCCGTTATCAATTCATAATGTTCAGATCAAACTAGACCCTCTGAGAGAAAAGCCAGTCAAACAGGTACATACAATTAGTCCATAGACGTTCTTTCCCTGCTTTGCCGGTAGTGCATCTGGCAACGTCGCCTTAACCCGGTCAGACGTGGCAGCGAGGTCAGAGCATACCAGAACAATAGAACTTACCAAGGCCGGCGCCAGTAGATACGCGATCCGTTTGCTGAGAATTTATTTCTAGCTAGTTTTAAGGGTTAAGCGTGTAAATGTACTAATATCGAACGATTTACATAAATCCTCCCCACCCCCCTACAACTCCCACTACCAAGTTTTTTCCTCTGTATATTTTGTTCAAAAATGATAAGGATCTTTTGAAACGTCAAAAACGAAGTTTCAGCTATTTTCATTCTTTTTCCTATTTGGCCTTTTCTATGCCGCCACTGGACCGACTTTCAAAAACAAAGCTTTTGAGTCGTTGGCATAATAGTAACATTGTGTGAAAATTTCATTGAAATCCAACCGGTACTTTTCAAGTTATAGGCGGTTATAAGATTAGAGGACGGATCGACAGACAGAACGAAGGAAATGAGTGACATGGTTTTTCGTGATGTCATATAACATCCAAAAAAAACATAATATTTAATTTTCTAGATTTTCGCGATTACGATACCTCCCCGCCAGAAGGCATGAGTGGTGAGCCGCGCAGTGCGCAAGAGGGGAGGTGGGTGGACACAGAGCAGGTATATTTCCCTATCTCTCTCATTCAGATGCAGTACTAAAAACATTCTGGAGCACCAGCAGCCAGCCTACAACGTGTATGTCTGTACAGTAGCGTAGTTATTTGATCGTACAGAGTTGAACGCGTGCACCCTTATTTCCTAATTCTGTAATCATTGCAATAAATATCATCTAGAAAAGACAGTTAAAAAACAGACGTAACTGCTATTTTTTTTATACTCTAGCTACCACGAATGCCTAAGGCCTAAACACCCATGGGTACCGTGGGGCTATAGGGGGATACAGGGTAAAGGGGGGACGCCACAGGGACTCTGACGAGGGAACCCGTGTGCATGCAATATGTACACACTCTGGCCCCGCCTACGAGATCCGCCGGGTGGTACCTCCGCGTTCGACAATCAGTGACCATCTACCACCTACGGACAATCACAACATCTATAGCCAAGAGAAAAATTTCTCTTGGGACGGGATTCGAACCCGCACAGCGCACGGCGACTGATCAGGAGACCGAAGAGTCTACTACTGCGGCCACCGCTGCTGCCTGCTCTGTTTCTTTCGTGATTACGTTTTTTTTTTTGACATCCTCAAAAGTTGACAAAGTGAATTAATCATTATGACAAATTACTGACGAAAGTCGGCTAATACACAATTTGTTCGAAAACACTAAAATATAGATGTACGTACTACTACTGATAACTTTTTACAATAAAGTCTCAAATGACATAAAAGAACACAAGAGGCACAAAAGATGAATATATAAGGGTTGTTGTTATATTCGTGGATTGACGTGTGACATACAAGAAGCCACATGTCACTTAAAACGAAAAAAGTCAAAACCAAACACGATCGGTTATGATTGGTTCATTGCGTAAAATTGCTTATTGTTAGGTGAGTCAACTGTCACTGTCAATAAAAATGCGTGTACCAAGAGCACACATTGATTTTTTGCCGCTGGAGAAACACATGTGTGTGCCTAACCCAGCTTCAGCGAATACACTTCAAATGACTTTTTACAGCGCCTTTTTCAAAGCAGCTAGGAGTGACGACTGTATATAGCGGAGGTTTCTAGCCTAGGGCTGCCATCCGACCGGGATTCCCCGGATAATTCCTAGCTTAGAAGGCATCCGGTGGCTATCCGGTGGCTATCCGGTACGGGTTTTTAAAAAGTCTTGAGATTCCTTGGATATTTCCCAAATCACAGTTAATTAATGGAAACAGTCAGGTTTGCTTCAAAGAGCAATTTCTATCCGCGAAACGTCTGATTTCCACCAGAACATTATATCCCCAAAGAGCTCCCTAAGTAAAAATCCCCTAAATTTAGGAGAAAATCCTCCAGAATGGCAACCCTGTCAAAACATCTTATTTGTGTCACTGCTATTCAGCATAAAAGTGCTGCAACACTGGACTGCTTTACGTAGGCTAAACACACTCATTGTCGAAATCATAAATACACAGATGGTTTTGACAGTCAGGTTTGCTTCAAAGAGCAATTTCTATCCGCGAAACGTCTGATTTCCACCAGAACATTATATCCCCAAAGAGCTCCCCAAGAAATCCCCTAAATTTGGGAGAAAATCCTCCAGAATGGCAACCCTGTCAAAACATCTTATTTGTGTCACTGCTATTCAGCATAAAAGTGCTGCAACACTGGACTGCTTTACGTAGGCTAAACACACTCATTGTCGAAATCATAAATACACAGATGGTTTTGATAATTTTCTCACAGGAGACTGCAGAATATTTATAGATCTGTATTTATATACTAAAAATAGTAGAGCGAAATTTGATGTAGAAAATGGGGCCTTTTGGAACCCTTCTTAAATACTACCGCGTTAAATTGATATATTTTATTACATGAGTAAATCAAAACAGATTAGCCGTTCAAATCTACAAACACTCACCTGAAATTTTTCTTCCGATATAAGGGGTCCACCTCCTCTTTTATGCGCAGCTCCACACTGCGCAGCGGACTTTTCTAAAGACGCCGCTAGACGTGCGACTGCGGTATCCGCGCGAGTCAGCAGCGTTTCTCGCGCAGGATTTCCCATTGCGCAACCGTTGCTGAGAGGCGGCGAGTCTAAATGAACAGGAACTGCGGTCAGAGGAGCACCACCGCGACCTGCAATTTTCACATTTATATGAACGCATCACATTATATTTTGATTTTCTATGTGAATCCGACAATTCTGGAATAACACCAGACAACATTTTTTATATAGTAAGCAACTGCATTCTGGTACCGACACGGAAGAAACTAGCAAAACACTTACAGCGCAATCTATGCGCGCCATGCCGCCCTAGCAGTGGCGTACGATTTGTTATGCTAATCTTTTCTGTTTTGGTACCCGAGTATAAGCACTTACCCAAATAAGGCGACGTAGGAGTGCTGATGGCGGTTTTTCCATTACTTCTGACACTCCCACTCCTAGTCACTTTCCCTCCAGAAACTTGGTCAGCCTCCATTTGTTCCACGTCCTGCCTTTGAATCCTGGTGCGTTGCAAATGGGGGGAACCAATTCCTGCTGTACGCAGTGAGGGGGTGTCATTTACAGCGTCTAAATGGGTCTTCTTCTGGCGCAGAACTTCCAAGGGGGGTACGGGTGGCAAAGGGGGTTTCTTAGGGGGTAGAAACCGGTGGGATGGCTGAAACGGATGATAGTATTAAGGAATCATTATTTCATCAGTGCCTGAAACGGCTTAATATTTTCTATTCCTAGCACATAAACAGTACAAGAAAATCAAAAAATTCCACTGAATAAAAAATTTAAAAGTTCAAAAATTTCAGTAATACGTTCACCAAAATATCAAAAAATTCCAGAATATCCAAAAATTTCAAATATTGTAAGAATTCAAAAAATTACAAAAATATTCAAAGAATTCCAAAAATTCCTATAAATTTCAAAAATTCAAAAAATTCCAAATAGTCCAAAATTTTCAGATATCTCAAGAATTCCAAATATTCCAAGAATTCCAAAAATTCTAAGATTTCCAAAAAATTCTAAAGATTCCAAATATTCCAAAGATTACAAATATCCCAAGAATTCCAAAAATTCCAATAAATCCAACGATTCAAAAAATTCCACATATTCAAGAAATTCAAAAAATTCAAAAGTTTTCAGGAATGTCAAATATACCAAGAATTTTAAAAATTCCAAGAATGCCAAATATTCAAGAAATTCCAAAAATTCCAAGAATTCAAAAAATCCAAAAATTCCAATAATTTCACAAATTCCAAAAAATCCAAAATTCGAATAATTCCAGAAGTTTCAAAAATTTACAGATATCCCAAGAATTCCAAAAATTCCAAAAATTCTAAGATGTCCAAAAATTCTAAAGATTCCAAATATTCCAAAGATTACAAATATCCCAAAAATTCGAAAAATTCCAATAAATCCAACGATTCAAAAATTCCACATATTCAAGAAATTCCAAGTTTCCAAGAATGTCAAATATACCGAGAATTCTAAAAATTCCAAGAATAACCAAATATTCAAAAAAATCAAAAGATTCCCAAAATTCCAAATATTCCAATAATTAAAAAAATCCAACAATTCCAATAATTTCACAATTCCAAAAAATTCTAATAATTCCAGAAGTCTCAAAAATTCAAATTTCAAAACATCCAGAGATTCCAAATATTTTAAAAAGTTACAAATATTCCAAAAATTCTAAGAGTTCCGAAAATTTCCTGGATTCCAAGAACTGTCGATTCTTGAAAATCCACGCATACTAGACAGTTAGCTCATTAAATGCGATAATTCCTTATATTTAAACAAATCTATTCTTACCATTCCATCCTGTTTCCCCTTTCCATTCTGCTGCTGTGGCGCTTGCGCAGCCGGTCTTGGGGGTACGGCAGACAGCGAGTGCGACCTTTGCCTTTCGGGCAGTGAGGGAGCGGTCAGCGTTTGGCCATTTTGGGCGGCCATCGCTTGACCATTTTTGGGTGGCCGGTCTGGTGGGCGTTCGTTCAAGCTGCGTCTGGGCGGAGGTCGAACGTCAATGTCGCTAGAAGACACCGGTGATGAGGAGTGGGAGGGCTTTGGTTTGCCGCAACATGAAAAGGGGCCTGGAAAATTATGTGATATTATTCATACGAGGATACGTTCAAAAATCGTGTTTCAGAGCTTTTTGAGGTACTAAAACTATTCAATACCAAGACTTGATACATCATTATGAAGCTGGAATACTCATTCTTTGCTTCATTCGAGTTTCTCCAGGAGACTATCACTGAATCCTTCTGAACTACCAGTAGTCAAAACATACTGATGAAAAAATAGACACAATATTCAATCTATAAAATAGACTGTGACTGCGGTAAATGCTACATCGGTGAAACATCAAGACGTGTTAAATGTGGAATTAAGGAACATAAAGGCTATATAACAAACTACACTACTAAGCGAAGATGTGTGGAAAACAGGAGTAAAATGGGAGGAAGTCTGGAAACTATACAAAGAGGATAGCAATTATAAAAGAAAGGTAAACCACCTTCCTATATAAAATGAAGCAATAACTGCCTTTCTAATTCTTCTGACTGTGATCCAATTCGGTTGAACATCCTTGAAGGAAAGGATCATGGGTTTTTTATCCAGGTTCTTCTCATCGTTTGTTGTTGGGTCGCAAACGCGCAAACTGTTGTGTCGTATTATTTTCTCACAGGACAAAGACTGTAAATGTCGATGTCAGGATAAATAAAATATATTGTAAAATAACAAAATTGGATCTACATTATCAAGCTCAACAAAAATTTCTGTTGATGTACCACAAGGTAGTAAACTAGGTCCACTACTAATTATTTTATACATTAATGAAATTTGTGATACTTTAGATTATTAGAAAATTCATATATTTGCAGATGATACGTTAATATATTGGGTTGTCGGAAAAGTCATGACGTATCTGCAACAAAGTATGCAATTGCGTGGTTGGAAGTACGTGAGTCAATGATATTTGTATGTTGATTGTGTAGTTTGACAGTTGACACTTCAAGCTTCATTTGCACCAAAAAATTAAGTGATTTATTTGAGTCTCGTCGATTTTAGAGGACGTTGAAGATGGACGACCAAACTGTGCATTTTCGTCACATTTTGCTGTATTACTTCCGCAAAGGCAAGAACGCAAGACAAGCGTGTGAAAAGTTGAGAAAGGTTTATGGAGAACATGCACAATGCCAGAGATGGTTTAAAAAATTCCGAGATGGGGATTTTGATATCCATGACGCACCTCGATCAGGGCGGCCTACTGAGTTGGATAGTGACGAATTAAAGGCATTGGTAGGAGCAAACCCACATTACACCACACGGGAAATTGCAGAAACCTTAAAAATCCATCATTCAACCGTTCACGACCATTTGAAGAAACTGGGATACGTAAGCAAACTCGATCGTTGGGTACCACACGAACTGAGAGAGGTTCATTTGACGGCGCGTGTAGACATCTGCGATATGCTCCTTAAACGTGAGGAAAACGATCCTTTCTTAAAGCGCTTGATAACGGGAGATGAAAAGTGGATTGTTTACAACAATGTGGTTCGCAAACGGTCTTGGTCCCGAAGTGTAGATACGCGTAACACGATCGCGAAAGCAGAGAGTCATCAGGAAAAGGTGATGCTCTCTGTTTGGTGGGATTTTAAAGGGATCGTGTTTTTCGAACTCCTGCCAAAGAACCAAACCATCGATACAACTGTGTATTGTCGGCAATTGGACAGTTTGCAACAATCCATCATGCAAAAACGTCCGGAGCTCATTAATCGCAAAGGAGTTGTGTTCCACCATGACAACGCGAGACCGCACACAAGTTGCTCACTCGTCAAAAGTTATTGGAGTTAGGATGGGATGTGTTACCACATCCAGCATACTCGCCTGATCTTGCCCCATCTGACTTTCATTTGTTTCGGTCGCTTCAAAATTCCTTGCGAGAAATACGCTTTACTTCAGATGAAGCTGTACATCAGCACCTTGTTCAATTTTTTGCCGGTAAAGACAAATCCTTCTACGAGCGAGGAATTATGAAGCTGCCTGAAAGATGGCGAAAGGTCATCGATCAAAATGGGCAATACATTATTGATTGAAGTTTGTGCTGTATATGAATGAAATGACCTTAAAATAAACAAAAAAAAGCGTCATGACTTTTCCGACAATCCAATACATATCAGATGAAAATATAGACACTGCTTTAAAAATTCTAAATTCTGACTTGGCAAAAATTATAAATTGGTTAAATGTAAATAAGCTAAAATTGAATGCTTCTAAAACAAAATGCTAATAAGAAAATACCTAAATGGAAATACTATTACAGTCAGGATAAATGGTAAAATAATTGAAAATGTCGAATAAATTAAATATTTAGGTATATATATATGTATATATATATATATATATATTGATAGTAAACTACAATTTAAGGATCACTATGAATACATTATTTCACAAATTGCCAAAAAGTTACTTTATAAGCCCCATAGTCTTAGTACATATTCCGAAAAAATCGTTTATAATACAATAATTCTACCCCATTTACTATATTGTTCAACCGTCTTGATCACTGCCAATGAAGCTGTATTCTCGAAATTACAGAATAAAGCTATGGATAACACTGAATATAACTAATTAAACCAAAATAAAATGTATGTTACAAGAATTGCAGCGGTTGAATATAAAACAGTTCATATATTTGGTTCTTATTTTTATATTTCTCTTTTGCCACAACATTTAGAACACCACATACAATTGAATAATCATTACCACAATTATTATACAAAAGAAAATATAGATATTCATTTATAAAATTTCAATAGTAATATAACTAGCCAATCAATATTTCAGAAAGGATTACTTGAATTTCATCAACTAAATAATGGCATAAAGTCTACTTGTAACTTGAAGATGTTTAAAAGAAAATTAAAGGAATATTTCATGGAGAGTGAAAATCATTGGAAATGCAAATCTTTGTCTTTTGTTTAAATATTTGTATGTTATGTAATTCTGGTAGGTTTTTAAAAGAATGTACTGAAGAAGGTCACCGTTGTGACCGAAAGTTTTACAGTAAAATAGTTTCTTCAACACATGTGGTCTGGATTGGCCAGATAAATATGAGGGATTACCACTAGCCACATGCGTTTCGGCTGGTAAATCACGATAACATATCTAGAAGTATCTGAACGGTTCTGAAATGGTTCCTTATAGAATACGAATGAGGCTATTAACTCACCTTTCCTATCGACAGTAGCGTACTCTATAACATTATTCTTCTCCCCTCCACATTCACTATGTCTTCTCACTCTCTCCCTCTCCCCCTTAACCTCCAGACTTCCATTTACCATCTTCGTTTCTCCTTCTTCTCGATCTTTTTCTTCCACCCCTGCTTTCGTGAGGTTCTCCAGACTGGCTTGTGAGGGTGGCGGGGGGATAATGTATGACATTATTTCTTCAGGGGTTAGTTCCACGGCGGGGGTGACTTTTTGAGTGGGAGGTGGCACCGTAACACTTGCTAGGAATTCTTCTAGATCGCCAGAATCGCCAGCTGTAATAAAATGACGTCAAGCAGATTGACTATACACTTCCTACGCCTTCGCTACGGTACCAACATTTCAAGGTTTTAAAATTTGTCGGTTTTATTTAACGGACACAAATGGAATAGAAAACTTCATAGAATGTGATATTTAACCTGGTCGTCAATAAATATTGATGTATAAGGTTACGTAAAAACACACTAATACTGACGACTCTAACCACAGACCATACTGATTGTGTGACTTAAATGGCACATGCATGGAAAATATGTGTTACTGTTATGTCTAAAAGGTGAGCAGTACTACGACCGAAATCAGAAGCTTATTGATAATACATAGAATATTATTCACTGATACCAAAGATGTAATATTCACAACTCCCCACCATCTACAAACCCCAACCCCATATTTTCATCGTCCCCAAAAAAAATTTAAAATCAGTAGTGGGAGTAGCAAAAATGCAGAAAATCGAAGCTTCTTTGATTATGATTATGGACCTATCATAAAAATTATCTGATTTCCATAATGGCGGAACCAGTATATCAGAATCAGCATCATCTCTCTAAGAAATGTGCAGCATCATCATTTGTACACTTACTAATTGATACCCGAGAAAGGTTATATGCATTGGTTTTATCCCCGAAAATGTACAGGGCGTTCAAAAAGTATAGAAAGTTCAAAATATCTCAGAAAATACGTTTCCTAGAGAAGAATGTTGTAGAACAAAGTTGTAGGGTTTGAAAATATTCATCAATTAGTGATCTTCAACGTGACCTTGACCTTCGTCTTCAAGGTCATTTGAAGGTCAAGACAGGAAATTTTACATTAATGCAAGTCTTTGCCCATGACCTTTACTATGTTCATGAGTAGTAAGTAGATAAAGGGCAAAATATCTCGAAAAGTATGTTTCATAAAGAAAAATGTTGTGAGGTTTGAAAAGATTCACCTAATGGTGACCTGGAACGTGACCTTGACTATGACCTTCAAGGTTATTTGAAGGTCAAAGCAGTTTTCATAAATGGCTATCTCTATTTTTGACACACGAAATAAAAAGAGCATTTTCAAGTATGCCCATGACCTTGAGTATGCCAATTAAAGTCATTCGAAGATCGACATCATAAATCACTTGGTTTAGCTACAAAAAAATTTTTCATTTACGTCAGGACATTAAATTAGCGGAAATGACCATATAGTGCACCATTGAAAAATAAGCATTTGCGCCATACTTCAGGCATGGGCACAAGTCTGACATAATATCTAGATTGATATGACAGCAATTAAACTTGCATTTTGTTGAAAATACCAGTGTCTCACCATACAAAATTCTGCACAATAAAGTCTTTAAAGACATAAATAAACTGCAGAATGCTTAACTCTTTAACAAAAATCGAATAAATAATTAATTTACTCACTGTTAACTGCTCTTGTTAGCAGTAAATAAGTAAATTGATAATATACTCGATGTTTGTTAAAGAATAAGCATTATGTAATTTTATTTATGTCTTCAAAGAATTTATTAAGTTCAATTTTGTTCAGCATCAGTGAGTCAAGTTATTTTCAGTAAAACGCGCAGTAATGACGTCATGTGTTTGATCCATGTTCCGAGTAGGCCACAAATCCCTTTTGATTAATGGAATTTGCGTCAACTTGTGTATCTGGGCACAAATGAAAAATAGGTTTTTTTACCTGAACCATGTGATACAAGTCATTCACAGGACCACATTTTAAGGGGGGTCTTCTATGTATCATTTTTTCTTCGATGGCTTGATCAAAACGGGGTGTTGAAAAATAAAAAACAATGTTTTTTAATATCTTCAAAACCGTCAACTGGAACTAAAATTTGGTATTTACCTAAGTATTGTCCACATACAAAAGTTTTTACTTAAAATTAACGTGTATCAGTGGCAGATCTACAGGGGATTAGTGGCATTATTTTTCCAACTAAAAATAGTACGTCACTGTTTTTTTTTTTTTCGTATTCTACCTTCAATTTGCTACAAGTAATTACTCTTGTGTTTCTTCCTGGAGTGCATTGTTTTTCGTAAAAATAAAAAAACTAATTAAACAATCAAAGCTTCATTTCAATAAATGTTCAAAAAGACCTCCATTCTGACAGATACAAGTACGTCATCTTTTTAATAAGGGAAAACATATTTCCGCAAAATTTGTTGTGACTTGAATTTGATGAAACGCATTATCTATTCTTTCTTGTAACTGATCAGCAGTATTAATTTGTTCAGCATACACTAGTTGTTTAATAGCGCCCCACAAAATAAATCCAGCGGGTTCAAATCAGGAGACCTCGCACGCCAATGTACGGATCCGTTTCTGCCAATCCTTCGTTGCTAAAGCATTTCCAATACAGAAACGGTACACAAAAAGAATATTGGCGTACTCATCATTGCTAAATTGCATTTCACAACACTCAAAAATGGAAAAAAGAAACTTTTGACTTGACTTTTACAAATATTACAACTTTTCTCATTCACTCTAGTTTGAGAGACATTTTATAAGAAGTCGACCAAATTCATTAAATCTATCACTTCAAAGCCACCTTCGTATTGGTCTAATTTGTGCCAAAGTCCCAAATTTTGATTCCCGTCTGTCAGTAGTAAAACCGGACCATAGGGGCATGCATCTCCGAAAAGAAGCCGAATTTCGACAATCGTTAGATGAAAAAATAGCCTTAGTATAATCCAAAAAATACTCCAATGAGTTTTTGCCCTATATTTTAATGGCCTGTATTCTTACCTATATGATCAAGCCTCTCCATACTATCAGCAAAAGACCGCGGTGGCTGGGCATCAACAACATTTGTAGGATGTTCCAGCAAATCTGGCGTATGAGGTGGCGGTAACAGAGTGAGATCTATGATGTCGGGGTCAAAAATGTAAACGGGCCCGACAGAGTCAGCTGACGTTGGAGTCTCAGCACCTGTTGTTGAGTGCTGTTGGGGTTGGCCTTCTGTTGTAGTTGATTCGGGGCCTGTGTCTGGGCTTCTGAGTCCAAAGCTGATCCTACAAATAATAAAGGGTGTGATTATACAGCGTCTGTTCAACTTGAGTTATTTTTTTAACAGCTTGTAGAACTCGTCAAAAGAAGTTGATTTACCAAAAATCACCTATTTAAAAGTTGCCTAACAACAGAGTTAGCTTTCATTATAAAAAAAATCATTATCAAGTTAAATGGATACCGTTTTTACAAAAACTGTTCAAAATTGTCCCCATTTGTTCGATTAACGCAAAGTTCTTCCAGAGTATGTACTAATTCATCATGATACACCAACTGTTTCAAATAGTCTCACAGAAAAAAATCGCAATGCGTTAAATCCTGGGAGCAAGCAGGCCAAGAAATGGGTCCATTGCGCCCTATCTATCTATTCGGAAACTCATTACTTAGATGTTCATGAACTTCTCGTCTAAAATGTGGTTGAGCCCCAATCATGTAGCAACATTTACTCACATTTAGAGGAACATCTTCTAATAATTGTGGCAGATTGTTTCAAAGAAAATGTAAATTTTCACCGGTCAGTCGCGGTGGAAAAAAGTAGGGTCCAATTAGCATGCCATTTACCACGCCAGCCCTAGCATTTATTGAAAATCTATGTTGAAACTGCGTTCTTTTTACAGCATGCAAATTTTCTACTGCCCAAACCTGATTGTTATGGAAATTGTGCACTCCATTTCGTGTAATTATCGCCTCGTCTGTACATAAAGTTAATTTCTTAAAATCTTCATTTCTGCCGAACTGGCAAAATGCAACTCTTCTAGGATGATCTTCAGGTCGTAACGCTTGTACCCGTTGATAATGATAAGGATAATAATAATCTTGTCGTATTGTCTTCCACACTTTATACGCAAATATACGCATTACTAAAATCGAACCAAAGACTCGTACTGAAAACCATACAATAACACAAAAAGTTTGTTTAGATAAACGATAAGAATAATAAACAAAAAACGCTAACATTTTACACGTCAGTGGTAAAGAGTATAACAAAATCTGTGTAATAACCATCTTATTTTTTTTAATTTTAATCTTCATTATTTCTTTTATTATTCAACTCTTATATAGGTGATTTTTGGTATATAAACTCCTTTGACGAGTCCTACACGCAGTTAAAATGAATGACTCAACTTTTAAAACACCCGGTATAAACGATTATTAAGTCTCAACATCGTTGCTAGCAAAATTTTAGCGTTAGTGGAGGTTGCCTTCCTTTGTGGGTCGCTCAGGCCTGTGTCTGGGTGCTTAAGATCAAAACTGATTCGAGAACTGAGTTTTATTCACTCGTAACAAAAATGGCCTCTGTACTTCCCACGCGATGGCATCAGCAATTCATAAAGGATTAAGTTCTGCACAAGTTAAACCTTCTGAGAAAAAAGTTTGTTACTAACATGTACAACAGAAAAGTTAAACGGATCAAATCAGTCAAACAGACCCATACAATTAGTCCATAGAAATTATTTCCCTGCCCTACTGGTAGTACCGTTCATCTGGCAACATCCCAGATCTGATCATACAACGCGTCAGACGCGCCAGCTCCCCACCGCGGCACTGCTGCAGTGCGTTTAGAACAGTAAACTAGACCGGTACGCCGCTAGTTTTAAAGGCATATGTACGGGCAAAGTTATGATGTGTGAAATTCGGCTAATAGATGCAAAGGATTACCGGGGTTGGAAGCGTATCAATATAGTAACATCAAAGAATTGAAATATATCGTCACCTCTTACAACCCCCAATTTTTAACTAATACACTTTTTTTTCTAAAAATGATTAGGAGCAGGGCCGGTCCTACCGGGTATGCAGTGAATGCCCCGCACGCGGGCGCCAAATTTATAGGGGTGCAAATACCTGGTTATTTTGTTCACGTTCCAAAAATATTTTATTTAATATTTTCCGTTCCGTATCCTGAGATATGTTAAATATCATTTGCCAATAGCCCTCAGTACCCTGGAGTAGTTACGAGTAGTGGAGTGCTAAGTTGGATACAGTGTCTGTGATAATATTTCCATTTATTACTCGTATGTTGTCTACACTAGGAATGACATATTCGCCAACACTGGTTTGTTCGTAAACGCGTTTATTGTGAATTTTATTGTGAGGTGACTAATAAACTGCAACAAACAAGTAAGTAGAAGAGTAAACTAGCACATGTTAATCAATCTAAGGTCCCTTGCACACCACTTTTTTTCAGATGCTAGTCAACAGCATACTTTCGTATTTCGCTTCGTCCATTGTTCTTCAAACGAAGTTGAAATTATGGAACATTTTTGGGGTTTTTCAAAGTTTTGGATACTACAGGTGAAGGGCTTTTCAACTTTTTAAGAGAAGAAATATTATTAAAATTTGAGATAGATCTTCATAATATGAGAGGTCAGGGCTATGATAATGGTGCAAATATGTGCAAGCATGTGTGCCTTCAAGCTCAAATATACGTTGGATTTAACTGTCACTGATGCAGCTAAAGTTTCTTTTTCAATCGTTCAGGAGCTGCTCATTTTTTTCCTCTTCACCCTACAGATGGAATACTTTAAAAAGGAATGTGCCAAACTTTGAAAATGTAAGTGAAACACGATGGGAGAGCAGAGCCAAAGCCATTCGCCCTCTTAGATTACAATTTACCGAAATTTGTATTGGTTAGACAGAAACAAAACATTAAACACCACTTTGAATGAATCTCACAAAGAAATAAAAATGATATTGAACAAATATTCTTTTTATTGAGGCAAAGGAAGCCGAAGCATCAGTTTTCATATGAAAGTACCGATGAATAAGTTTTTGATCCTAAACAAAAATTTAAGATAAGTTTTTATTTTACAAGGTTAATGATTCATTAGGGTTTTTACTGATCTCCGAAATCTGGAGTCTGATGTAATCAAACGGTCATGTATAGATTTGGATTTGGCTCTGCAAATTCAACATGAAAAAAATGTATCTAATGATGACGGTCTTGATCTACACAATGAAATTATGTCATACAAAATTCTCATTTTTTCAGACTAAAATTTCACACTCGCCCATAGGTATTTTAAGCCATATAACACAGAAAACACTGCAGTCCTGGTTCCCAAATTTATTTATAGCCTTAAGGATATTCCTTACCCTATCAATTTCGGTGGCTTCTGGCGAGAGGAGTTTCTCGAAATTGAATCTTATAAAAAATTACGTAAGAACATCAATGGGCCAAGAGAGACTGTCAGATTTGGCAATTATTTCAATTAAAAATAAAATCTGTGAAGCCATTGATCACAATGAAATGATCGACGAGCTTGCAGCTGTGAAAGCAAGACGTGTCATGTTTTGATAAATTTATTATTAGTTACGTACTCATAGTATCCTTTTTGTATAATATTCCAAAATGTCATGTTAATTCACGCATTTCTACTGTATTGCAGTGACCTTTTTTACGTAACATTAAAAGAATAATTCCTTCAAACTGGGTCGTGTTTGTTACGATATGTTATGATATAGGGCATCTTAAATTCATAACATAGGGGCGCCCCAAAAATACTGCACGCAGGCGCTCACCACCCTAGGAGCGGCCCTGATCAGGACCTCAGAAAAGGCAAAAAACGAAGTTTGAGCGATTTTTATTCTTTCGCGTTATTACTCATAGCTCTGCTGCAACTGAACCGATATTCAAAAAGTACAGAGTATTTTCCAGGTTATAGTGGGGTCAATGATTAGTGGATAGACAGAGACACAAAAGGAACAGCGAAAATGTGCGACATGGTTTTTCGTGATCCAAATGTCATGTAACATACAAAAATATATGTCAATTTCCAAATGTTGTCGGTGGCGTAGGAAGTAAAAAGGAGGCAAAAATTGGAAACTTCAAAATTTAATAAAGGAAACCATTGATGGCTTTCAAAAAACCTGGCCTATCTGCAGTGTCGACTGAAAACCATTTCTTTTTTATTACATATTACAAATTACAAATCCAATGTCAGTTTGTCGCTGAGATTGACTGAATACATCAAAAACCCCATTTTCCACTATAAATGACCTCAGTGACCCAATGTAATGAGCTTCGTTCTCTTGTACCCATAGTAGACGGAAATGCAAGTTTTTCACGCTAAATGCACAGTAAGAATATAATTCCAAACAAAAGTATCGTATGACGTCACATACCTATGCATTTTAGTATCATCCTCCTGCAACTGTCTCGTACGATGTCCTGGAGAGCTGTGCGGTGTATAAATTGATTCATTGTCGCTTTCTGAACACGCCCCTGCACTTTCCTGTCTCAATAGCTCCACCACGCTATTCGAAAGTGAGTTTTTGATATCCTCAGATTCCTGAAAAACACAGAAATATGAACATACTTGGAGAAATGTCCGATATTCTCTGTCACGTAAAACGGCTTGATGTCATGCCACTCCATTTTGCGGGTGATCCGTTTCTACAGGGTGGCGAATATATAACTGACTGATTTAAATTGCGCGCCATTTTAGATGCACGCGTTTCAGTTGGTGGCGCCGTTGTAGTTGTTTAAAGCACATGTGTGATTCACCATGAAGCGCTACACCATCCCATAATGCGTCCGTATTGTTAAAACGTTTTGTCGATTGTGGCAACGATTCGGAAGCTACGACAAGATTTTGGTCGAAATAGTGTGCCCAGTGTCAACACCATTCGTCAGCTGGAGCGGAAATTTGCACAAACAGGTGAAGTTAAAGACTTGCAAAGGTCGGGCCGTGTTCGAACTGTTCGTACTCCGAAAAGTATCGAGAGAGTTCGAGAGTATACACTATTTAAAAAAAAGTCTTGCATTTGCGGCCATACAAAATTCAGTTAACCCAAGAACTACAGCCTAGTGACCATGAAAGTTGCCGACAATACAGTCATGCAATATTGCAGCTTAATATCCAAAATAACGATTTTTACCGACAACTGATAATGAGCGATGAAGCCCACTTCTATATGAACGGATTTGTTAATAAGCAGAATTGTCATATCTGGGCATTAGAGAACCCTCGAGCCATTCCTCAACGACCACTACATCCTCGTCGAGTCACAGTTTGGTGCGGTGTTTGGTACGGAGGTGTCATTGGACCTTACTTCTTTGAAGACGCTGCAGGTAATTCTCTTACTGTCACCGGCTTGCGCTACCGTGATTGGTGCAAAACTCTCTGGCTCCTGAAATCCAACAATTTAACCTGCAAAACATATGGTTCCAGCAGGACGGACCAAGTTGTCACACAGCTAGGGAAACAATGAATCTTTTGCGAACAATATTTCCGGAATATTTAATTTCTCTATTTGGTGATGACAACTGGCCACCAAGATCACCGGATTAACGACTCCTGACTTTATTTTATGGGGATTTTTTAAAAATACGGTTTATGCCAACACACCAAATACTGTAGTGTAGCTGAAGAACAATATTACGGAAGCGATTGAAGGTATTCCTCCCGAAACGTACCAAAAAGTGACAGAAAATTTAATCAAGAGGGATCAGGTTTGCGCAGCTTCTAGAAGCAGAAATTTGTCTGATATTATTTTTCATACATAGTTGCTAAGTTTCAGCAAAAGATTAAGATGAAAAAATTCAACGTATTTTATTTCATTTCATAAATATTCAATATACAAACCAGTCAGTTACATATCGGCCACCCGGTATATAACAACCCACATAGTCTCCAATTCCAGAGCGATTCAATATTTAGTCAGACACGTACTCTGCATTGCTTCGAACAATTCCTTTTTTTGCATTCGTTACTAGTTAGTGGTTATGGTTGCGTTAAATTAATTTGGCATGTGGACACGATTACGAATGACGAGCTTAACCTGACGAGCCTGACGTCGAGTTACAGCGTCATCGAATTCGTTACCAAATGTCGAGCCTATAGTACCCGCCTAAATTTAGCGTTCATGTAAGGTATAGCATTTTAAGAGTAATCTTTAAGTCGAAGTCTGTGTCTATGTCGAGTTTTAAAAATATGAGCTTACCTGTGTTCCATTATGATTTTTCCCCGTCAATAACAAAAGTGAATCACTATGTTTCAACTGTCCAGGTTCACAATCTCCATCACTTTCTACATCAATACTGGTCTCCTGCCATTCTGAGGATCCTGACCTATTTTGCTGATGCTGTAAATGCTCTTGCTCATTAAGGTAGCGTTCTGAGTTTTGAACTAGTTGCTGCATCTCTTGGACACGCCTCAAAACCTAGAAAAAACGAGAGCCTTAAAAGTTGACTGGACATACACCCCTGATCCTACAAGATATCTCTGTCAAACTATCAGGTAACCAAATAAATTCGTGCGGTTGCTGTATATCGCATATTGTCATGGATGTTGTTGATCGAAAGCAATTGTTTGTTACCTGTTGTCACTTTAGTATGAATCCTTCTTTTCTCACTCACATAAAAAGTTGCTGAAAATTGTTACATACCTAGTTTTAATAAATGAAAATGGCGGCGAATAAAACAATAATTCGAAGTTGTTTACTGTAGGAGTACAAACTTGGTACAAAAGCTGCAGCGGCGGCGCGAAAAATAAGTACCGCATTCGGAGATAATGCCGTTAGTGATCGAACAGCACAGAAGTGGTTATCTTCGACAGGTTGTGGACGCAAATTCCAGGACAACGTGCCAAGAACTTGCAGATATGTTCATAGTGAGTCCTGAAACTATTCGTTTGCATCTTCATCAGCTAGGAAGATGTGGAGGTTAAGCAAATGGGCTCCATATGAACTGACAAATGATAACAAGTTAAGTCGTCTTACCATTTGTTCAGCAAACATTTCACGCGACGCTAATGAACCATTTCTTAATCGGTTATTAACCAGCGACGAAAAATGGATCCTGTATTCGAATTCTAAGCGTTCATATCATTGGTTGTCGCCTACTGATTCGGAACCACACACGCCTAACGCTTTCTTGCATCCAAACAACGTTTTTTTGTGTATTTCGTGGACAGCAACTGGAATTGTCCATTATGAGTTTTTGGGGTCAAACCATCACTGCTAACTTATATTGTGAGCAGCTTCAACGAGTACAAGCAGCGCTCATCCAGAAACAGCCTTCTTTGATCAATCGGAAGAAAGTGATATTCTTACAGGATAACGCTAAGCCTCATACCGCAAAAGTGACCCGAGAAAAAATTTCTGAACTCGGCTGGGAAACGTTACCGCACCCGCCATATTCTCCCGACATTTCGACCAGTGATTATCACCTTTTTTTATCTCTTGACAACTGTACTCGTATGAGGCACCGACAGTTCACAACTCGAGATGGTGTAATAAATTCAGTCCGCCAATTTTTTTACTCCAAATCCAGGGCGTTCTACAATACCGGTATACAAAAATTCATACCACGTTGACAAAAGGTCATTGAATGTGATAGTAATTACTTCGACGAATAAATAGTGTCTAATTGTTTCTCAATAAAAATTGATATTTTTCTATAATAGAATATTTCAGACCAAAAGGCCTTGATATACGACACAACTGCCTGATGCCTAGGAAGTGGAATACTAGCTTTATTCGAATGTTTACATGAACCCGTATAAGAAAGCTGATCTTGACTTTGGAGGAGCTACCGCCTTCAAAGCCACATGGTTGAAGAAGCGGTGTGTCCCAAAAGACATAAATCGAATGAAAGATTTTTTTCTGAAATTTACTTTTATTTCGCGATCAGAGTTACAGCATATGCTCCCAAGTAACGAACCATTGAAAAAGCTACCACTGAACATTAGCCCAGTAAATGTAGATATATCAATTTACTAAGCCGTAATTTCATGTTTTGTTAGATGTTACAGCACATTCAAGACTGGGCATATACTGTCCATGAACAGAAAAAACTTCCAGATATTATGGAATTGGAAAATATATAATTATCCATCGTAAGTAGTTTCTGCACAAGATAAGCAAAATGCTGCATGTACCCTAAATCTCGAAATACACATTGTGTAAACGGTCATTGTCAATCTTCTAGATTCCGAACACCATGAGATAACAAGGGATAATATGTCCTTAAGCTAGAATGAATCGTAGGTCTAAGGACCGTATTGTCGGTCACGTCTACAATTTTATTAAGCCTATATGACCTCCTTGATTTTCATCACTTATGCTTTGCTTCCGAAAGGCAAGTGTGTGGGCATCATATTATTTCTAGATTTCAACCGTGTCAGCTATTTTTAGGTTAGGTTATGATTTTTGCGTTTCAAAAATTTTAGACTGATGAATCAAAAATGCAGAAGCATATTTTCTTGCAAATAATGTCGATCAGTCAATAATATTTCCCTACACAAGAAATTGTTGGGATATGCCTATCCATTTGCATTAAATTGTTCATTTTCAGATCATTAATACCAATATGCGATTTTCCTAACCCAACAATTTCTTGAAGATACCACAGCTTGTGGAATTTTTTTAATGTTGGGAAATATTAAAGCATGCTTCTGCATTTGATTCATCTGTCTAAAATTTCCTAAAAGTCAGGAAAACATAACCTAACATCAAAATCGTTAGCACGGTTAGAAATCTACCAAGCAACCACATACTTGCCTTAGTGAAGGATACAAGATTTATGGAAATCGAGGAGGCCATAAAGGCGTCCTACAATTATTGCAGGAACGACTGGCGATACGGCACTTAACAATCCAAATTCTTCAAAATAGCGGTAACTCTAAAACCACGCACAATCGGATAAGGATATACTTATATGGTTTTTGTGTTTGGAAATTACCGCCGCCAAGGTAGGAAATCGTAAACCGCCGTAAAATTATCATGGCAAGCAAGTATATACTCGTAGATCCTTATAAGTTTTGGTAGTTCGCTCCCGGCATTTCATCATGGTATTTTGCTCAAGAAATTAGTATCTGTAGCATCATCCTTCTTCAAAAGTCGTGATCACGTCCCGCTTTTAAATGACCGAAATTAAAAAGTAACAATATCAGATATCCCATATACAAAAAAATAATAGCCGTTTTACATTCAGCAAAGAGCAAAAGAAACATTGATCAATAACTCCCCATATCTGTCTGGCCAATAGAAACCACATGTCTTGAAAAAAACTTCTTTATTGTAAACATTTCTGCCACAACGCTGATCTTCTTCAGTACAATGACTCTGACAACGTGTTTTATTTATTTGTCTTCCAAATGACATAGCGTTTGTTTCTTCCTTTCTTTATTTGTCTCGTTATATCTGGTGTTCCTCAAGGCTCAGTACTTGGTCCAATATTGTTTTTACTGTACACATGGTTATACCTGACTCTTCTTCAGTAACTTACCCCCAATGATACGCAACTGTATAAGTATTTTAGCCCCGAATCTACACATCAGGCAGTTTGTGAAATTAATATGGATCTTGAAGGAATTGTGAGATATTCTTAAATTGAATCCGGATAAACGTAATCTCATGTTGTTCGTCAGCGATTGCAACCATGTCTTGAACGGTAAAAAACCAAAACTAACATTACAGGTTGAGAATGGGGATGTTTTATTGGTTTAGATTGGCTAACCTTGCACGTTTGAAACGAGGAAACAAGGTCGTCTTGCAATTGTAAGTGATCGCATGCAATTGTCTTGCAGACTGTACATTGTCATCTTGAATCTTGCAACTGCCAAAGTACCTGCATGCAATTGTTTTGCGGGCTGTGAAACTGTTATTAAGTTATCTCATCCCGAACCTACCTCATCATTCTTAGTATCGGTCTCATTTTCCAATATCTCCATGGATACAACAGACTGGAAATCATACGATCCCCTTTGCTGACGACTCGATGCTTGTGCTGCCATCTGGTGGTTGCGATTCGAAACGAAATTGTTGTTCATGTTGTTGTCGGTGCTGAAGTGGTGCAATGTTGGTCTGGCGTGGGTGGGTTGTCGACCAACTGTGTTGTAGAGACCGTTGGTTTTTTTGTTGATGGGACGGTAGGGGGGTTGAATGGCGAAACAGGCAGTCTTTACGGTGTTCTGTGTGAAAATTATTATAAAATTAGAGGAAGATATATCCAGCTATGTGAAATTCTTAAAGAATCAAGTGTCCTGATTGAGGTTAGCTGCTCTGCTTTCGTGGTGATCCTCAGTATTGATAAATCGGCACCGTCCATTATTGGCTAGATGGAGTATAGGTACTTCCGTTTGCACTGAAAGTTTGGAGGAATTGCTACGTCTCTTCGTGAAAGAAGTAAAGACACTCAGAACATACTTTTTTGAGCAAAAAAATATATTCCGTCGGAATGAAAATCTTGGTAAATCTTTTTTGGGATTACAATGTTAACGCAGAAATGAAGATTGTTTACTTACCAGAGCAATATAACTCCATTTCTCTGGTACAAACCCTGTGTTGCGCTAAGTACGGTGGTGCCAAATCTTCCATTCTATGTTGTAGCTGCATCAAGCTGCTGTCGTATTCAATGGGTAGCTCTCTTTCGCCCTTGAGTGCAACCCTGGAATTTCATGTATTTTTATTAAGTTCACGTATGCCACCACGAGTATTACAAAGATTTTAATAAATGACAACACTGGCACATAGAAGCACGTTCTATTTGAAGCACCCGGCAACCAACGACAAAAGGGAACTTTTCGTGAAAAACTTTTTGAAGACCGGAAATAGTCAATTTGTTTAGGGGAGAGCTAAGTTCATAGAATCTTCAATATTGTACATAAAGTACTTTTAATCTGTAGAGTTAACTGGCTCCCACATTACTTAAATGCAAAATGAAAGCCACGGTGATTGTTAAACAATATTTGACACCTGTGATCGGCCTCATTTCTACTATGCTATCATTCACTTGTATTAGCTATGTGCGTTGCCTAAAAGTCAAGTATGTGCTGTCGGTGTGATAGGTTTGACTTAATGTAACGTCTGCTTCAGAGATGGCAACTAACGGAGGTCATTCACAGCTTCTATAGCCTAAGCCAGGGTTTCTCGAGCGGTGGTTCACGAACCCCTAGGGGTTCACGAGCTTATATGAAGGGAATTCGCGAAAAAGTTATGGTAATGTCGGAATTTGTCCGCAATCTTGCAACACCGCCGCTACAACAATCCGGCAAGAGTTCTACTTCGGCGAATCGAGTGCACCAATAAATTTCTGAGAATGCACTAAAAAGAACGAGAATAACGTCTGCAGATATAAAAAGGTCGCAGTCATGGAAGTACGAGTACAGTCGAACGCGCTTCGTGAGCCGTATGGATGTCGAACGTGAAAAAAATATAATAATATTCTGTAAATTTAAGATGTATAGTTGGTTTTGTGTTGAGTTTTGTGAACTCTGACAAAAAGCCAGATGAGCAATCAACTAACAACAACAACAACAATTTGGGTCCAACACAGGGTGGCGCGATATTGAAAGTTATAGTGAGGTACCTTCTCGCCGGAATAAAAGTAATGAGAAAATAGACAAGCATGGTGAAAAAAAAGGAAAGAAACGAAAATACGACACTGACTATTTGCAAATGGGTTTTTATTTCACCGGGGAAGAGTGAGGACCGCTTTGTGTAATTTGTAATAAAGTCCTGGCCAACAGTAGTTTAAAACCATCGCTTCTACGTCGGTACCTTGAGACAAGGCATCCGGATTACAAGGATAAACCTATTGAGTATTTTAAAAGGAAATTGGAAGGTAATAAGAATTGTAGTGTTTCTTCTTTCCTTCCGGCTTTCAACACAGATAGTAAAATGACTCTTGAAGTATCATTTCGAGTTATTTACAGAATCGCAAGATCTGGAAAAACTCATACAGTGGCAGAAAATTTGATCGGATTTTCTGCTAAAGACATCGCAATGTGTATGCTTGGAGAAAAAGGGGCAAAAAAATGACCTTTTGCCCTTATCAAACAGCATAGTGTAACGAAGAATTAACGATTTGGAAAACAGTGTTGAAAGTGAACTTTTGAAAAGAATAAAATTGAATTATTTTGCTATTCGGCTTGACGAGTAGACCGATGTAACAAACTGTGTAATATTGCTCGTGTTTGTTAGATGTATTTTTAAGAATTCCATTCAAGAAGATGTGTTATTTGCAAAACCACATCCGACATCCTGTGGCTCCAGAAGCTTGCATACTTAGCCGATATTTTTTCTAAATTAAATGAACTGAATATGTCTTTACAAGGTCCAGGCATCACCATTTTCAATGTTCATGATAGAATACGAGCCATGCCAAAAAAGTTCAACTTTTGGAATCAATGTCTGCAGATGAATTAGTACGAGTGTTTTGGTTCTCTCAGCAGCTTTTTGTCAGAGAATAAAATTCAACTTGACGAATAAATTGAAAGACATATTACTGAACATCTCAAACAGCTTCAATTAACGTTCAAATAGTATTTTCCTAATAAACCTGGATCAAACAACTGGATACGCAATCATTTTGATGGAGATATAATTTCTAACACTTCTTTATCTTTACTGGAAGAATAAAAGCTCATTGATTTATCCTCTGACAATTCTCTAAGAGCTGTTTTTGCAGATCATTCCTTAATAGACTTCTGACTCAATGTAAAAAATGAATACCGTATTTTAGCAGAAAAAGCAATGAAAATTTTGTTACCGTACTGCACAACGCATCGGTGTGAGAAAGGATTATTACCTCAAAGAAATAGATTAAATTCAGAGCCCGATCTAAAACTTAAGCTTTCAGAAATTGAACCAAATCTTGAATTTCTTTGTTCTAACAACAGGCACAAATACCCTATTGAGAATTTTTGGAAGTATCGAATTATGTACTTGTATTGATATTACATTAGTCCTTTGTTTGTAAGTTTTAATAACGTTTCTCTAAATGTTTTACGTTACAGTTATGTTTTAATTTACTTTGCTCATTATAACTATTATTCATATGATTAATAGATTTGATAACAGCCAAATAGTACTGTTTCATTTACTCTCACTAACGACTGCTCAGGGGGTTCGCCGATATATTACAATTTTTCTAAGGGGTTCGCAGAAAGAAAAAGGTTGGGAACAGCTGGCGTAAGTTATACTAGAGACGATCGTTGTGACATTATTCACAGACAGAGAGGCAGGTATACAGACGGATGGACAGAAATGAGTGACAATGTTTTTCGTGATGTATATCTCATATAAAATATATCTCGTTTTCGAAATTTTTCGAGATTACAATACTTCCTTGCCTGTGGCGTAAGAGGTAAAATTTGACAAATTTAACTCCGGCGATCTAGACGATTATCACCACATATAGTACATGACGTCCCCATTCTCCGTACACCAAGTAAACCGATTTCTGGCATTTACCATGACTGTTGCCAGCGTAGCAGGCGTTATGTTGGAAATTTCTTCCGGGAAGTTTTGAACTTTGAATCTTGTGGGGTCCTTGTGGTTCACATAAACACGCGCTTGCAAAAAACCCATTAAAAAATCACAAGGGGTCAAATCTGGACAGCGGGCTGGATACTCCAAACCACCCCTAATTCAGATGAGGCGCTCTGGAAAGGGTTCGCTCAAAATAGCCATCGACGCTGTTGAAGTGTGTGCCGTCTTGTTGGAACCAAGTATGCCCTAAGTCCAACTGATACAACCGTGTTTACTGAGATCGCTATCATAGCGATTATCCTATATACTACGGGTTCTTGGAGCGGTAACCTCCCCCCCCCCCCCCCATGCTGCTCCATGTACTATTTTTATTTCATACAGCATGCGCAAAGCTATTTTACTCAAGAATAATGAGATATTTCGTAATCATTCGATGTACTTTTACTTACTTGTAATATCCTCCAAGAACTAATACCAGCTCACCAGCGTCCCTTTCTTCCAAAGTGACAGCCAGATGTCTATCGTCTCGAAATAGCACTCTAACCATACGACTGACTTCGTCCAGTTGTTTCACTTCTATTCGAACCATGTCTTCTATCGAGGCAATCGGAATAGGCTGAAACTGAATCACAAAATAATGTGAAAGAATGCAGTGAAAAGACATTTTTTCGAATTTCTTTTATGATATCTAGAAGAGATTGAACAAATAAGATGCGCCGCGGGCGTTCTTGATGGTGAACAAAATGAGAAAATGCTATTACAACATTCTTCTCACGAAAGGTCGTCTTTCCGCTGCGACAAAAATTAGGCAAGGAAACACTTATGGCGGTCCTACGGTTTCTGCGACAGTAAATTTATTTGGAGGTATCGTTAGACTATTGCTTCCTAATGTTAAGCTCAAATTGCCGCCATTTTGATAATGCGTTTTATCGTAAATCTCGAAAACCATCGATCCTATGTCAGAAAGTAATAGGAACAACTTTATAGGAAATTAAATTCTGTACCATTGTGCTTCTTTAAAAATTTGTCGTAAGTCAACAGAAATTTGAATTAAAGTTCTTTATCCCGAAGGGTGGAAGAACCGACTACTCTCTAGCAAAACCATTCAGACCTATCACTGTATGCTATCCTTCCTGATGAAGGGTATGCAGAAGATTGAAGACAGATACCTGGTGAAAGGAATCTTTGTTGAAAATCCTATCCCCCTAATCAGCATCAGCCCTACACGCGGCAATACCTAGCCCTCTATCGACACAACTGCCACATGTTCGCTATGGACTTCTTATAGATGTAGTCGACATGCTGCTTCCACAATCCAGCACCACGCCCAGGTACTTTACCTCATGGCTGAGAGTCAGTGGTACACCATGGAGAGTTGGTGTGAAATTCTCTTTGTTCCGTCTCTTGGTGAAGAGGACTGGCTCAGTCTTAGATGGATTGACTGAGAGTCTGACAGGTACCAAAATCACGTAACATTTTTTTTTTACAATTTCGATCACTTACCAGTAATTTGAATTTCTCTTTATTAATGGTAGAGTACCCATTCCTAGACCAAATCCTTTTCGATGATTTTCTTTTGATAAATTTCATAGTTTATTAATTGTATAATTTCACACGTATTATATCGTTTTTTCTCGTGTGATTCAGTATTGTGATGAAATCTTTTGGACATTAATGTTATAGTATTACTAACGACTATCTCGAAAATTTCCTCATAAAATATCGTTGGTCCCTCGTGGTTGGTTTTCTAGGGTCCGCGCATTGGCAATCATCAGAAAAACTATGTGGCTTTTCTCCGTTATTTGGTTTCCTATCGAACATTATATTGTATAGTCGAAAATAAGAAAGATGACGATTACGTCATGACTTTAGTCTGTAGTAAAGACTAACGACAGCTATTTGTGAATATTTTTAATGAAGTTTCAGATATGTTAGACAGAGACAAACTGAATTTTATTGTCTAAACACACTGTATTGCTAATTTGGATGTATCCGACAAAGATAGACGATGTTTTAATGTTGCATGATCGATCATATTGGAAAGATGAATAGTTGGGTTATGTTAAAGCAGGTTAGGTTGTTTTAGAATAATATTTTGGTCTTTGGTGATCCTGTCTTAAGGTATTCTACTCATGACTGTGTTTTTTCAAAACAAAAACTCCCCACTAAAATTATTATTAGGGTATCACTCAAAACCATGAAATAAAATGAAAATAAAAATAATCAGTGTGTGTGTGAGTTGTTGTCAACATGTTCCTGACATCGTGATTTTATCATCGACCTACGTCGATTGATTACTTCAGTGCAATTTATGCTATGACGTAATAGTCATCTTTCGTGATTTTGACTATATTCTTCAAGGCCACTCATTGAACCTTCCTTTATAAAATTATATGTTTCTCACTTTCTTCCTGAGATTGTAGTGTGGATGCCATTTGTTTAACCTCCAATGATTAAAAGTACCACTTTAAAGTAAATACTTTATTTACCACCACGTGTAAGTATGGAAAATATAATATTTTTGACGATTTGTAATCTCTCTATTATAAAGATAAAACCACTCACTTCCATCAGACTTTGTCACTGGCTAATTTCAGTAACCGTTGCACCGTGGACAACACGGACAACGTACGGAGCGTGCTGAGTATGTCAAGAAACATTAGATTGTCGAAAAAACGTGAGAGTTTTTTGTTGTAGAAAAAAATATCTACCAAGAAAATGGTAGTCCCTATACCATTAGGTTGTTAGCTTGTTAAAGTTTCTTTTTATGGTAGACTAAAAATTAAATATATCTTGATATAGTAAATTACTACAACGTTTTTCTTATTTAGAATAGTAATTTTATAACAGTTCTTAAAAATATTGAAATTTATTTTTATAACAAAACACTTTTCTTGTTCTACGAGCCCCTTCCCACTTCAGTTGGCCCTCTTCAACATTTGTACCAAAACATGCCTTTATAAACTAAACATGACGAAACTATTTACTTCTAAAACAATTTATTTTCTCAAAAACATTTTAGATACACTCTAGTCGTAAAAAATACATATTTGAAATCACTTACACCTATAACTAATAGAACATCTGAACAAATAAACAATGTGCGAATAAATGCGCGAAGGTAACCAAGCAACAATAATTGAAAAATTATCATTGGGTAACATCACCTTTATTTTTTATTACGGCTAAAATTCTTTGGGGCATAGTGTTAACCAAGTTTTGGCAAAAATTTGGTGTAAATCAATCCCATATTTCTTGAAGCTTTTGTCTCAGTTCGGTGATTGTACGAGCAGGATGTTGTCGTAGAACCTTTTTCATCTCGTGCCACAAAGTTTCAATAGGTGACAGATCTGGACTGCCAGAAACCCATTTCAAAAGTGGTACATTATTTTCTTCCATCCATTTTATAGCCTTTTTTGAGGTATGGTACGCTGCACCATCTTACTGAAACACAAAATCTTGGCCGGATGTCAAACATTCTTCCATCACTGGTAAAAGCGATTCTTCTAAAATTGCCAAATATTTGTTTGTATCCACATTTCCATCAATAAAATGAAGTTTTCCTACTCCTTTTGATGACATACAGCCCCAGACCATAATGGATGCTGGAAATTTCACTTTTCTCTTCAGACATGGACTGCTCCATTTTTTTGCGAATAACTCTACTGCGACTGTCACCAACACAAACTTCGAATCGGGCCTCATCACTCCATTGTATTGCACACCATTGTTGAGGTGTCCATTGTCTATGTTCTTTAGCCCATCTAAGCCGATTTTTCTTTTGCAGTGGAGTTAATAGTGGCTTTTCCTTGGCCTATAAACAAGTTGTGCAACTTTAGTGTTTTTACTTCACTTTTTTTATAAGAAAACTTACCTTTTTTTTTAAGAAAACTTACCTTGCAAGTGCTAAATCCCAGTTTGTGGGCCTCTCTATGAGTTGTGGACCTCGAAATTCTCCTTTCAACAGCGTTACTCCACAGAGCACTTAATTGTAAATAATTGGCACGCCTGTTTTTTACGATTATTCTTCTTAATGCTCTTCGGTCGGCATTTGTGATATTACTTTTTTTCACATATCGTGGCTTAATATTAACTGAGCCAGTTACGTTATATCTTCAGTAACCGACTTTCTCACTAATAACCTTTCCTCTACCCATTTTGAAAACCTTAACTACCCAAAACTATTTTAAACGTATTCTGACAGATGTGATTAATAAAAACACGTCATGGCTTTTATTTTTCACAGCCACCTATGCGTTATAGACTTATTTTGCATTGAAATGAAAACAGGTTGATATGCTGTAATTGCAACATGTGTTTTTTTATGCTGCAAATTTGATTAGCGAGTGATAAAGTTGGTGTTTTCTACTATATGTTATCAAAATATTCATTGTAATATTTTAAACCTATAACACCCTGCTACATTTTTATTATTTGTGTTTGATAAGAAAAAAACTAAGATTTCAATAGTTGGGCCAACTGAAGTGGGAAGCGGCTCGTAATATACTATGGTAGAAATTCGTACGTACGTATATTTCTGGCGACCATCAATACGAGAGCTGAAGGTAACTTAGGGCTATTTCCGGTGCTTTCGTGTAGGAATTCAGCGGCCCACAACCCGCGGTAGTGAGTAATTTCACACCCAGTGATTGGTTTATCGGGTTGTGGAGATTTTGATAAAAATCGGCCTTCCTTGGTGAATTTTGTTGTCGGAGCCATTTTCTCACCCTTTTGGAGATTTAGCGTTGTCACAACCATACTAAACCATCGAGCTGAGGGCAACTGTCTGCATTGATACTCCGATACTCATCACCCTCAGGTATTGAGTTATATCTGGGACTTCCTGCCCTCTGTTGCCTTCCTGCGATAGCCAAGTACATGCCAAGGTGTTTTTTTATTTTATTTTTGCTGGAAACCATTTAGCTGGGGCGCTAGTACCAAATAATTTTATCTTGCTTGTCATCCAGGACTTCTTTTAATTTTTTTTTTGTTAAATAAATGTTTGTGTACCTTGTGAGTTTGTATCTCTTTTAGCGCCAGAGACCCAACATTTTCCTAGTTCTTGGAACTGGGTGGCGCCCAAACCACAACCATTTATATCCAAAATTCAAAGTACAAAGAACCACACGCTGAGGTCTCATTAACTACCGACCGAGCACAGTTACGTTCTTTTACCAAATTATAACTTCACGTACCCGGGATAACAAGATTAGCCACTAATAGCGATAGCGAAAATATCATTAAATGTGACTTTCTATTTTTATAGAAGCCAAATGATAATTTAATTCTCTACAAAAGTGTTTCTTTTACTTTTTGATATAGAATCGATGCTTCTCGAGATATTCGATCAAGCGCGTTTATCAAAATGGCGGCAAATGATCCAGCTCGTCCATCGCGCCCATTAGGAAGCAATAAAATCTAACGATCCCACCAAATAAAAATTGTCGCAAATATTGTTGGAAAAAATTACCTATTTCCTGGCCTAAAATAAGCGGTATTGGATTAATGCGGATTTACTCCCCATTATTTAAAGTCAAGTTGGCAAGATACATCATAAATCTTTTAAATAATTGATAATTTATCATAAAAAATTAATTGTAAAAGGATCTTGATCAGACACAAATAATACACACTGAAGTGATAAAACTGACCATCATACATTCGGTTAAGATAATTTTTTTACAAAACGTGAAACTCACACGAATGCTTGGAAGGAGCGATTGTAAAAAATGTTTTCTAATGTGTGACTACAGCTTTATTTTCCATTCCGTCTAGTGAGAGGACAGAATGCCAGGATTAAAAGGCAGTAATGAGAAGCTAACGTATTTACTCACTGCCGAATTCCTGGTCCCCGTAATCTGACTAATCCCAAACTTGGGACTGACGAGTATCACAGTATCTCCCATAATCTCTCCTCCTGATCCAGCAGTAGCTGTAGCTGAGAAGCACTTGGCGCCGTAGCTGGGCAGCTGCGCTACGATGTCCAGATAGTGCAGCTTCGCTTGAAGCTGCGTCAGCTGCTTGCCACCGCTCGACGCCATCGTGGCGTGAAGTTTGAGGAAATGGCCCAGAACTTTGCGTACCTCTTTGCGCTTCATGCCTTCCAAGAGGGATCCAGGGACGAAGCGCTCCAGGCCGAACTCACGTCTGGAAGGAAAAGTATTTCATTCAGATGATTACCATAGTTGAGACTTAGGTTCCAAAAAATCTCCGATAACAAATCCGGCCGGCCCTGCCTCAATCAAATACTCGTAATTAGTTGAAAAATAGGACATGCGTTAGTATCCAACCCAGGCCACGAGCCGTGTATCAGTAGCGAACTTCCCGATTTGATTGTTTATCATACAGAGTGTTCCAGTAGTCGGTGTCCAGCCGGAAACGGCGGATAGACCAAGTCATAATAGTCATCAGGAAAATATAAAAAAAACTCTGAAAAATCTACATCCTTTTTGTTACCATTACTACAAATTTGAATTGTTCCTTACACAGTGTGTCGGATAGTGTCATTCTACATACTGACAGCAAGACAGATAGTAACGCGACTTTTATTATGAAGGCAGTTAGAACATTTATTGTGAATTTAATAAAATACATTGCTGTCACTGCCTAGAATGACACTTTTCGTTGAATGAATGAATGAATGAATCTTGAAACTAGAGGCATTCCGGCGACCATAAGGAGCCAGTGTATAGGCCGCTTAAGCGGGCCCTTATGCACCTCTAAAATCCTTAGATCACAAGCCTCGCCCTTTTAGCGAAGTTGAGAATCGCCTTGAGTCCAAGCTCCTTGACGTCCTGAGGGTCCAAAGTAATGGACGCCAGTATAGACTGCCTATAGTAGCTCACACTTTTCGTTACTCCGTCTGAGAAAAATTGAAATGTGTAGTAATGGGAACTAAAAGGTCATCACAGGGTGAAGATTTTTCGGATTTTTTTAACTCTATAATTCGAAAAGTACACGACGATTTTTTATATTTTTCTGATAGCTTTAATGACTTCGCCTATCGGCCCCCCGTTTCGGGCTTCACGTCGACTTCTGGGACACCCTGTATATACGTCAGATATACTGAGTGACCGAAAAGGTAAACACTTACGTTTGTTTATTAGAATTCAAGAATTTTTTACATATCCATTTATCTTGCCATGAACAACAGGTGATAAAATGGTCAGGTTTTTCTGTTAAGTTTTTGTGGTGGCTGCGTGTATTGTTTGGTGATAAAGAATGCCCAGGCGTGCCAAGAAATCGTGGATCCTCAACACATTATTGAACCAGCTTCTGCAGTCAGTTGACAAATCAAGTTGATAATTTGATCATTTTACTAGTAAGGGACACTGAACATATATGCCAAAAATTATTAACATCGGATAAACATACATAGGTGTTTACCTTTTTGTCACTCAGTATATATTCAAAACTATCAATAATTGTATTAATCAAAGACACGTTGATGATACCAACTGTATTTATCTCTTGATCCAAAATTTGATGATACAGCATCAACCGGTACTTACGTGAAATACGCAAGTAGTCCTTGAGGCAATTTAAGACTAAATTCCGATAAATGAGTAAAGTTATTGTATTCATCCACGTAATTAGGAAATGTTTACACAATAATTTGGCCTAGAAATAGATGGAAGGGGTATTGCTCTCTCCAAAAGTGTATGAGTCAAAATGACGTATCTAGTACTAAGGCTTGTCTATCGAAATGGTGGTTAATTTTAGATTGCGCAAAATGGTTTGTAAGTATTTGGTGTTTCCTATTTTCAATCATACTGTCATGCTACGATACAGATTGGAAAAAATTCAGAACTGTTGCTAAAGATTTGTTTTCAAACTCGAGAAATATGATCGAGTGTCAAGCAAAATTAATGAGTTGGGTTGGTTGAAAATAGAAAACCTCTATAAATACTACCTACAAGTACATATGTTTAAGTTCACCGTTTATTACTGTCTTCCCATCATCATTATTTGAGAAGAAAATTATTTTTTGGCAAGATTTACATGATTATATCAGGTATTCTAATAACATCTCTCCTCAGAAATTTCGTTTACCATCATCTTTTACAGACAGTGCGGTCAGAATTTATACGAGTATTCATGTTTTTAAGACTTCAGTTCAGGGGTTTAACATTAGTGTCAAAAACCTAGTTTTAAATTCTCGAGCGACTATATTTTCATATTAGATAGACATACACTGTTACGGTTTTATTGTTTTATAATTCTTATATTGCTGTTATTTTGGTGCAATTTTTTTCTTAATACTATATCACTCTTCATGTTATGTGCATGAGGTTATATTTGCAAACTTGTATATCTATGTTCCTCTTATTTTGTTTCAATGTATAATAGCTTCACACTAGACTTTGCCCTATATTCGTATAACTATATGTATTGTATCTGACAATATTTTAATAAAGGCATAATATTCGTTTGGTGGCTGTATCCAGATCGTTTACCAGGATATTTCCACCCCGCATGCCATAGGTTTACTTGTCTCGTACAAAGGCCGTTTGTAGGAACGTCGTATAGATAAAGTAGAACACCTGGACAGTCCTGAACGTTGCAAATTAAGGAATAAGTTAACAAAACTGCAATTAAGATCGAGAGTGTTTACTTTCCACCAGAATACCTCAGAAAAAGGGTTATGTTTTTTGCGCCCAAACTACTTGATGAATTTTCACATTTCAAGTGTCGCTCGATTTATCTTGACAACGTGAGCTCTGGATATACTAAAATAGTAAAATCAAAATGGCGGGTTTTAATCGCAAACTTTAACTTTGAAATTTATATTTCATGGGCTACAGCCCAGATTTTAACTTTTGAGGTGAGCTTAGATTCGTTTTGATAGCATTCTATTCTTTTCTTCAAGTTACTGCACTCGGCCTTATTGTATTTCTTAAAAATATACTTGTTTGATTTAATTTGTTTGAAAATGAGATAATTACTTGTGGAAGGCTGTATGAAATGCTACACACTAGTTCCGTTTTTATGGGGAAAAGACCAGTTCAAAGTTTTCAGAGAGTTGGGATATTTAATGGTAATAAAAATTATGGTTCTGTTTGTCAATGGAAAGCTGTTACAGTTTCTCTCAGGCGAGAAAGTTTGACAAATCTACATATCTTTACCGCCCGAAGTGTGGGAGCCTTCTAAAACCCGGTACAATCGCAAAAACCATTTGGTCATATGATTCACGACACGGCTTGCATCACGGCATTTCGTCATCATGGGTAGCGTATTAAATTACTATGAATGTACCTAGAAGAACTCAGTATACTCACTCAACTGCCTTGACAGTAATCTTAGCAGCCTGCTGTACTCCATTGGCCATCGCGTGTTGGTATACGTGCAATGCAGCCAATCGTAGGGCCGTATCAGGCTGAAGTTCTGGCGCAAACCGTTCTTGAACGACGTCATTGCAGCACTGAGTATAGAGATAGTCGAGGGCATGGAGGTCCTTTTGAGCTAAAGCCGCTGCAGACGAAGGTACGAAGGACACTCTAAAGAGGCAGCGCAGTTTGTGGGCTCCTGGACGTGACGCTATCTGAATGGAAAAAAATAAAGCTTCATTCAGGATTATTTCATGCATGCATGCATTATTTTAAAAAATGGCGTCAAGTAAGTTGAAACTGTACTTCCCGCGGTACGTTGTCATCAGTTAGTAAAGGATTATGTGTAGCACAAGTTGGAGAAAAAAATTTATTACAACTAATTAAATGACCCCCTGAGAGAAATTGCAGCGGGCGCATAATGATCGTTGCGATGACCAATCTCGTGTGAATGACGATATTGGCCTTCCCCATGCACAGTGCATACATCCCACAGCGGAAGCAATTGCCGACTGTGACGTACGGCCACCGACAACAACGCTTGTCCAAAGGAGGACCACGTCGCACATATCGACACCCGACTGTAGGATATATACTAAGTGACATATAAATCCGAACACCCAGTTTAAATGGTTTTATTTTAATAAAATTTTGTATAAGTACTTAATGAAGCATAATAAGTAAATGATAAAAATTTCAAAATGATTGCACTGCTTTAAAGCCCTTTGACCTTTGATAATGTGTGGATGCACCCTGATGTGCTACGCATTCTCCAACGCGCCTAGGCATGCTTCTGATCAGGTGGTCAATGTCCTCCTGTGGTATCTCATTCCAGGCAACCACCAACTCCTCTCGAAGTGCTTCTAGAGTCTGAGGAGGACGTTGCAAATTGAGCAATCTCCTACTCATCATATCCCACTCGTGCTCAATTGGGGATAAGTCGGGAGATCTTGGTGGCCATGGTAACAATGTGACATCATTATGTTGAAAGAAGTCTATTGTGACTCTTGCAACACCCCAAGCCAACAGTGTGATGAACATGTCTTTCAACAAAAACTGTGGATTCCTCCTTTCACCACGTCGCCTTCTAACCCTGGCACGACCATCGTGCATGCCTAAACAAAATCGAGACTACTCACTAAAGACAATACTGTTCCATTCCTGATCCCACAGTGACCGTTGTCTGCACCACTCAAGGCGATTACGTCGGTGTTCTCGAGTTAAAGGGAGGACCCAGTGTGGCCGGTATGAAAACAAGCCAAAACTTCTCATTCGTCGGTAAACACTTCGCATGCCAATAGGTCTTCCGTGTTCTGCAAACCATTCATTTGCAATGGACCTGGTAGTGGAGAAACGGTCCCTTAAGGCCAATAATCTTAGGCGGCGATCTTCACGGTCTGTTGTTCTACGGCGGCGTCCAGTGCCCCTTGCTTTTTGCGTACGGCCTTCTCGAAGCCATGCCTGACAACACCTAACCACAGTGTCTACACTTCTTTGCACTCTAACTGCAATTGCCCGAAAAGAAAGTCCAGCTTACCGAAGTCCCACTATACGGCCCCTATCAAACTCACTAAGTTGACGAAATCGTACAGGTCTCCGTACTCTAGGCATCGTAACCGATCGTAAAGGATGTCAAGAACCAAAATCCGCCAACGTTGATTCTTTACTGCGGCTGAAATATTCATTTTTAGAGCGTTAGTGAATTAAAAAAAAGCAGTATAAAAACCGGAATGTCCAACTGATAAGGCTGAAAATTTTTTCACTTGTTATTTACAGTAAGATAAATACATTCACCAACTTTTATTAAAATAAAACCATTTAAACTGGGTGTTCGGATTTATATGTCACTTAGTATATTTCTGTAAAAGAGATGCGTGAAATATTCCAAATTTTCAAAAACTACAAACCTTTTGCGTCTTCTGCATAGTACTAACATTGGTGAAAGCTTTGTACATATCATATAAAATATCCAAAAAAATAGAATATCTCATTCTCGAAAATTTTCGCGAATACAATACTTCCCGCAGGTGTGGGAATCCATAACACTGGAATACAAAAATTGTAGTCAGTTCTACGCTTCTTGGAAAATATGCCGCTCTCTCTGAAGTGATTAGTAACTACGTAGCAACAGAAACATACATGTCTTTAATGGAATGCCCTATATATTTTAGTGCTCTGAATAGCACTTTCAAAAGCAAAAGTTTAACGTTGCATACTATAAGATTTGAACTTTTAGTCGAATTGTTCTTTATATGCCAGTATGTATCGTAATTAAATGTTTTTCAAATCTTCTGGATCATCTTTACGAGTCACAAAATGTACTTTTTCCAAAAAATGCAACAGGAACACATGTTTATTTTTACTGTATTAGGTTAAAATAAAGATAAGCTTATCTTTGAGCTATTTACAGCTTTCCAGAAATAACAATTTAAAATGAATATCATATTATATGTGGAAGAGGGGATTTTTACTGAATCCTAGAATTTTCTTCATCAATCATACGAGGCACAAAATCTACCATTTCTCAAAAAAGTCTAAAGGAACATCATGTTTATTTTTACTGTTTTCGGTTAACATTAGCATAGCCTTTATTTTGGTATATTTTTCTGACGTAGTCAACAAATCTTTGAATTATTTGTAGCCCTTTTTTCCAAAAAATACAATAGAAGCACATGTTTATTTTTACTTTATTCGGTTAACATAAGCATAAGCTTATTTTTGAGTTATTTGCGATTTCCAGGAGATTACAATTTAAAATGAATATCACATTATTTGTGGAAAAGGGGGATTTTTACTAAAGAAAAGGTAATTTCAATGTGCCCATTGTACACGGAAAAAGAAATATCGCTTTACTTACCCTGGCTAAAGTGTCTTGCGGATCTAACAATGTCAACTTATTCCTCTTCAAAGACTTTATGTGCTCTACCACAAGACTGAAGTGTTCAGAAGCTTTCAGGTACAATTTGCTTTCTAGAGATGAGACAACGTCTTGGACGGTTGTCCACGCATCGTATTTGAATGATTTCGTTTGGCCGTTTTCCAGAAAAACTTTGAGGACGTTAGCCATCGGTGGAACGCAAACGTCTCCAAGAGAAAATGCAGATGGCTGAAAAAAAATGAAGTCAAGTAGGTTAGTACTTCCAACTCTTGATATAAATCTATTTAACAATTTATCCACAAGGACTTTCAATGTACTACCCACTTGTTTAATTCCCGTTCGCCTGTCTCCAAGACTAGACCTATACCGCACTGATGAGCAGCTAATTAGCACGAAACAGCGCTGTCTGCGGTTGATCAAAGACAGAAAGCAAACATGTTAATTTCAGTTTACGGAATGCCTTTAAGCCTATTGAGGTGCAAAATGAATCTTCAATTCTGCGCTTTTGTTGATATTTTTTATTCTTTCATTAAAGATAAATCCCATGATTTTTTAGCACACTTACCGGAAACAGAGGTGCCCCATTGACACAAACGCTCTCCGCAAATCTGACCCTAGGTGGTTTCGTCCTCAACCTGGCCCTTTTGCCTGCCGACAACAACGTGGATTTCCTTAGCCCGCCACCCTGAGATTCGGCAGGTTGACAGACTGTCAGCCTGACGCATCGCTGGCAACCGCGGACCAATGAGATCACGTGTTCACGTGGGGCTTGGCAGACATCTTCTCCATTTACTTCGAGGATTTGGTCGCCAGGGAGAAGCTAAAATCAGAATACAAAAGTAATAGCTTGTTTCAAATTTATTGAACATTAATTTGAGTCAGCACAAACATCTTCACACTTTTCGTTCTTCAAAACAACGTCATTATGTAAGAAGAGTATTGCGTTCTTTTTACGCACACTTACGAAAATTTATCTGTAGATTACGTTTTTTTCCTTTCCGACTTCTGTTTCGGAAATCCATAGGTAACCTGACGATGCGGGATCAGCAATGGAACAGCGCAGTATAAGGGTGGTTACAAGAAACGCCTTGTATAAGACGAAACTTGATGATGTTTATTATTATTGTTTATGCGCAATATTGTTATAGTAAAACGTTAAAAAAATACGGAAGCGGTGCCACTGAAATGGTTTAAGTATGTGTAATATTTTACATTCCTAGGCAGCACGGTAGGCAAAAGCCCAAGTAAAAGGAAACTATGAGGAGCTTAAAGGAACTTTTTAACTGCTTAAGGTTAGTAGAACTAGAAAGTCTATTTATTTTGTTCCACAATCTCAAAACCGTAGGGACAAAGGGCCGGTCATATTGGCCAGTTTTGGATGTACGAAGTTCAATACGGTTAGGATGGGAGGCAGAAGTCCAGTGGGTCTGTCTGACAGCCACATTGCACGACGGAATAACCAAAGAGATCTGAAGAGCAAGGCCCGTTGATATAGCGGTAAAAGAGAGCTAGATCGCAAATGACCCGTCGGTGCGAAAGGTTCCCGATACTATCCGTTAGAGAAAAGTCATATATCAGTCGGACAGCCCTTAACTGAACAGCATCGAGCATAGATAATGTGGTCGGGGCCGTAGCAACCCCAACATGTAAGCAGTACTCGAGACCAGGTATTATTTGCGTCGTGCGTAAAAGAATGGTACGATAACAACCGTATAACATCTGTTAAGTTAAGTAACTCTGACATACTATCTCCCAAGAAACGACAAGTTGATATCAAGGCCTCCTATTTTATTTTGAAACTAATTGTAACTCAGCTCTTCATGTATGATCTAATTTGATTTATTTTTATTTTTATGAAAACAATGCACTCTAGGAAAAAACACAAGAGTAATTATTTGTAGCAAATTGAAAATAAAAAAAAACAGTGACGTACTATTTTTCATTTGGAAAAATAATGCCACTAATCCCCTGTATCTCCGCCACTGGTGCACCTTAATTTTGAGTAAAGGCTTTTGAATGTGGACAATACTTAGGTAAATCCACACAATTTTAGTTGACGGTTTTGAACATATTAAAAAAAATGCTTTTCATTTTTAAACTTCAACACCCCGTAACTTTTTAATGAAGCTCTGGAGGAAAAAAACGTTAAATAGAACACCCCCCTTAAAATGAGGTCCTGTGTATGATATTTGATTTTTGGTCAAGACTTGTGGGTCACCCTGTATAGTCGGACCATATGCTGCAATATATTCTTGATAGCCAGGCTATAGTTTGCAAATTTATTGCCCAAAATTGCATACAACAGATTGCCCTTTTAGAGGCTCCATAAGAAAAACGCAGGTTTCTGAATCAGATTACAGCGATATTATACTTTCTGACACTCTTACGACAACAAAACATAACAAAGGTAGACATAATGGAAAAATTCGATGCTTGGCAACCATGCTGAAGATAGAGGAGCAAGGAAAGGCCGACTAGAAATCGTGATCACCATACACTATAATCTATGTACATGATGCCGACGCAAGATGGCGCATCGTGCATTTAAAACGATTCCAATAATGTGTGTTTTGGCGCCTCGAAGGCTTTATCCGGGCGTCGACGAACCATTTAAATTGAAAATTAACATCGTAATTAACAATTTAATTACAGGACACGTTAACAACGATGATACAATTATCTCTTGGCCAATGCTGCATTACTGTAACATCCGAAACTTATACTGTGGTTTTCAGACTAATAAATCTGTAAAAGTCGTTAGCTGGATTCATGATTTACTAACGTTTTGGCCACCTCTGCGAATTTTTGATTTGTACTTCAAAAGAGATACCACCAAGGTGGCCGAAACGTTAGTATAAACAGTTAACTCAAAGTACGCAATTTCATTTCGCGGACGGAAGAAAACAGGATTTATCAGTTCTGCTTTGCATTCTTAACCTTTTGTGTCTAAGATTAACAACCAAAATGGAGTAAATTGTGTAACACCTGAAAACGTACCCTAAAAAAATAATTCAAGCATACCTGTGGTTTCATTTAAGCGGGAGATAATCATGCAGTTCTATATGAATTGTGTTTAAGATGTAGGGTTCGTACTAAAAATTTATGTTGGAAATTCCAACAACCCCTTCCTGGTTGATTAGATAAATTTTTTATTTTATAGAATGTTTATTTTACCTTATCAACACTGGGTCCTCCTTCAGTAACAAATCGAACGATAACAGGTTTTTCTGATCCAGCTACAAAACCAAAGCCTAAACTTGGTGACCGTTCTAAAACGACTGTCCTAGGTTCAGGTTTAGGTGGGGGTTCTAGGTTCTTCACTACCGGGCTCTCGTATGTTGTTGTTTTGTTGATGTGACTGGAAAAAAGTATTTTCTAGAAACGCTGAGGATTCTAAAGAAAATGTCTATACAATTTCTGTACCTCCTTAGGCCAAATATGCAATATTAAACCAGAGAAGTATAAATTCAAATGACCCACGGAGCGATTTGGGGTAAGAATAAACGAATCGAAAAAAAGGCAATGAGAGAATTTTAAGAGATCGAGTTCATCTAGGTCTAAACGAAAAGTTCTCCCCTATCCCTGTGTTCAAATAGATTGAATCCAACATCATTCTGGTGCGAGTTATGACAAAGCTTTGAAGATTTTTGACTCAAGATACTTACTTAATGTAATAGGTTCGTCCAGAATCATCGAGAGCCCTCTCCCATCCATAAGGCAGGTCATCTTCTCCGGTTTTCCATGCTTCAGCGGGTGGTAGCCACCCTGCAGTCCGTGTCACGTGACTGAAACAAAAGAAAATACAGTCTTCAAGTAGTCCAGGAATCAATAAAGCTTTAGGCCAACCAACACCTCTGTATCACCGCATATATTTGTCAGTCACTCTATAGGTAAGAATAGAAAACCAACATTATACAGGGTGATTCACAAGTTGTGACCAAAAATGGAACATCATACACAGGACCGCATTTTCAGGGAGGTCCTCTATGTAAAATTTTCTCCTCGAGGGCGACATTAAAAAGATACGGGGTGTTGAAAGTTTAAAAATAAAAAACATTTTTTTTTAATATCTTCAGAAGCGTCATCTGGAATGAACTAAAATTTGGTAAGTGGCTTTACCTTAAGTATTGTACACATTCAAAAGTCTTTACTTAAAATTAACGTGCAGTGGCGGAGATGCAGCGGATTAGTGGCATTATTTTTGCAAATAAAAATAGTATGGTTGTTACCTTCAATTGCTACAAATAATCAGCCTTGTGTTTTTTCCTAGAGGGCGTTGTTTTCGTAAAAATAAAAAAAACAAATTATCTAATCAGAGCTTTATTTCAAAATGTTCAAAAAGACCACCATTTTGACAGATACAACTGCGGTATCTTTTTAATGAAGAAAATCGTATTTCCGCAAAATTTGTTGTGGCTTGAATTTGATGTAATGCATTGTCTATTCTTTTTTGTAACTGTAACAGTATTAATTTGTTCAGCATACACTAGTTGTTTAAAAGCGCCCCACAAAAAGAAATCTAGGGGGTTCAAATCAGGAGACCTCGCAGGCCAATGTTTCCGCTAATCAATCGCTGTCTAATATGATTTTTTCAACCATACAGTTATGCCACGACGAACATGCGGAGGGGCACCGCCGTGCAGATACCACATTCGTACTCTCGTTGCTATCGGAACATCATCTAACATGTATGTAATTCTCTAGAAAGGTAGTATGAGTTTAATTTAAACGTTGTGGCAACACGTGCATAAACAGTTGGCCATTGAAAATGCCGCACCAGACATTTCTAGAAAATCTGTGTTGAAACGAGTGGATTCTTACAAAACGGGGATTTTCTATCCACCAAATATCTTCACTATGAGAATTAAAGGTTCCACTCCTCGTAAAATGCGGTTCATCGGACCACAAAACCAATTCAATAAAATCTGCATTTTGATTATGCAAATATACTAACCACTAAAAAAAATTTCGCCGTTGCACTTCGTCGCTGGGTTGCAGACATTGCACATTTTGTCGCTGGTAAGGATGTAAAACTTACCGATTTAAAATTCTCTACGCAAGACTTTGGGAACATGGTAACTGGGCTGCAATCCGCCTAGTACTTGTACTAGGATCATCCAGCCTCAAATTAATCACTTCCAGTTCCTCTTGAACAAACAGTATGCCAGACAACATGGCCTATAACTCCGGGAAGTTCGGCAATTCCATATTGCCCAAGTCTTAGGAAATCTACGTTGATACACCCAAGAAGCCGCTAAGGCATTTCCATAACAGAACCCGTACACAAAAATAATATCGGCATACTCATCATTGCTAAATTCCATTTCACATCACTCAAAAATGGAAAAAAGAAACTTTTGACTTGACTTTTACAAAAAAAAAAAATTGAAGTAGTAACGATAACAACCGTATAGCACATAACTTTGACAAACTATCTCCCAAGAAACGTCAAGTTCTCCTATTTTATTTTGAAACTAATTGTATCTCAGCTCTCCATGAATGATCTAATTTGTTTTATTTTTATTTTTACGAACACAGTAAACTCTACGAAAAAAACACAAGAGTAATTATTTGTAGCAAATTGAAGGCAAAATTCGAAAAATTGCGTGTTTCGAAAAAAACCAATGGCGTACTATTTTTACTTGGAAAAATAATGCCACTAATCCCCTGTATCTCCGCCACTGGTGCACGTTAATTTTAAGTAAGGACTTTTAGATGTGGACAATACTTAGGTAAATATACATACCAAATTTAAGTTTATTCCAGTTGACGGTTTTGAAGATACTAAAAAAAATTGTTTTTTATTTTTAAACACCGCGTACCTTTTTAATGAAGCAGTCGAGGAAAAAATGTTACATAGAAGACCCCCCTTTAAAACGCGGTCCTGTGTATGATATTTCATTTTTGGTCACGACTTGTGAATCACCCTGTAGATCTGCTAGACTCGAAAACTGCACTGTCTGCTTTCAGTCATTATCCAGTCACCTATTGGTGATTACCAACTAGGACGAAGCAGCGTTGTATTCGATCGGTTACATGAACAGAAAAGAGTTTAATTCCAGACTAGCAAAATCTAATATATTTGTCTTTGGTCTATTCTCAGATCATATCCGCTAGAAAATGACGTTACCCATATTTTTCAAACTTTTACCATTGCCTGCGCTATAAAAGATCATAAGATAACATTATAACAACTGATTAAAATAAAATACAATTGTGACTGAAACAAAAATTCCCATAGACCTTTGAAGAAATGGAATTCTAATTCGGTGCAATAAACTTGAACCAACTTTCTTTGATAAAAGTTCAGATGACATAGAAATTATACTTTATCGTGTATCCTTGAATACATCTAGTGAAGCTTATAGATGAGTGAGTTAAGCACATGCGTTCTGAATGACCATCTGACCTGACAATACAAAAATCCATTGTCGGAGAACGTAGGCCTGCTATCGCTATTGTAAGAAAAACTCTAATGGCTCGTATTATCACCTGCAATAGGTTGGGATGCCAAATAATCCAGTCCTGAGTACAAAGTCCGGAGTATTGTGCCCTTTCGTCAAATGAAATCGAAACCATGAAACAACTGCTTTTATAGCTTACGAGAGTAAACTATATATGTACACTTTAAACATTCCTGTATAATCAATATCGTAATTGTAGAAATAGTATAGGCGTGTAACTGCGTATGGTATTTTAACTGATTTCCTATTTTTAATTATTTTAATGAATCTATAAAATCAATGTTTCGTAATCTATTGTGAATGTTATTTCATGGTCCACTACGAATCTACTTTTCTATTTCATTGGAATTAACAAGTCAAAATTTCAACCATATGACCGAACTTATTCGTAAATACAAAACTGCCGTAAGAATACGTAAATAAATTAGGGATGAACGGAGTACTCGGCGGAGTACTCGACCGAGTACTCGGTACAGTAATTTGCGATGGGTTATTTCAGCTACTGTTAGTGTTGTATTTGAAAGGCCTCTTTATTCCTAAAATTGATTTACTTTGACCCACACACTGTATGCATTCCTGAAAATAGCTACCCAGTGTTATCATATGCATGGATGTGCGTATATTTAAGCATACCGGTGGTATTTATTTTCTACGGCCGAAGTCCCACGCAAATTCCAAAATTAACGACATTTAAGCTAGTATGTGAGTGTAAGGTGTCATAGGACAAGTCCAAGGTTTTACTTTGTCGAGATGATGTTTTGCGATCACGCAAAACTTATCTAGGAAGCTTTGAATTGTAGTTCATCAGACCATTGAAAAATAAATAGGTATTGGTACTTTGGCTTTTACCCCCTCCTCATTGATGATTTTTTCCCACCCTGACCTATTTGATGGTTCCACCATTCTAACAACTCTTTGTTAGTCCATTCTTTTATAACTTGCTTCACGCGTGTTCTTGTAACCACCACAGATGTGACTTACACTGATACATATCTAAAGTGTATCTAACGAAGCTACAAAGTAATCGTAAACAGTGGTTGATTCGTGATCAACGCGTGATCGGTAGCCATGGCGCTCTGTCGGCCTCTTCCTGATTGGCTTGTAGCGACGAGCCTCCAGACAAAGTCGCACGGTTGCCACGCTCGGCGAGTTTTCGCCAGAGTGGTTGATCACATTCGCATGGATCACAAATCAATCTGTTGGTGCAATACGTGCAATAACTGTTGTAAAGGACATTATATAACAATAAATGGCATCACAAAGGTATATTCCAATTTGATCTGCAGCAAATTATGAACGGCATATACGGAGATGCGAAAACAAGCTCAAAAAGGTGAAGAAAATTTTTGTGCAATCTTTATAGTTAAATTTTTCCTAAGAGATAGCATCAGTGAGGGAATTTTTTTCTATTGTCTTATTTTTCACATTAATGCGATGTCGAGGTATGTGGCCCTATCGCAATTGAAAATAAGGTTTCGATAATCCTTCCATAATGTTTCGATGAGTACATCTGAAATAACCTTGAGATATTCTTCAGGGAAATACAAAAATCTCCTTTTGTGTTTTTTTGTGCAGATTTATCTATTAAAATCCTATCCGCAATCTATTTTCCGTGCACACACCTTCAACCGAATGTATGCCATATATATTACCGTTTCCAACTTTCACCAAGGTTAATAGGAACCATAACAGCTCCCTACCCTTCCCCCCTATAAGAATATCGATTTGTAGCCTCACATTTCAAGGTTAGACTTCTTGTAATGTTTCTGTTCAACATTCGGCGATTTCTGACAATTTTCCCAATAAAACATGATCATTGTGACATTAAGCCTGGCAACGCTGCATAGTAGAGGGAACTCTCAGCGTCACGTTGATGGTTCGTCACCACGCACAGGATTGTAATCAGTTACGGATACCCGTTTATGAGCGCGAACGTTTTATGCACGTCTTGACTTGATTTTTCTTGCGGAAATTTAATATTAGTCTAAAATGTCTGACACAGATACAGCTGATGAAGTGGTTGAAATCAGCTTAACGTCACCCAGAAAAAGGGCTAAAAAGCTTCATCTTAGCGCAGGTGAAAAACAAATTATTCTAAATATCTACAAGAACCAGATGCAAGAGAATAGTGGATTGGCTATAGAAAATATCGTATGTAAGGTTGCTGAAATTTCTGGAATAGGTCGATCAAGTGTTTACAAAATCTTGAAGGAATATAGACAAAATCACTCACTATCTGAGCCAAAAACATATCCAGCGAGAAAAAAATCATCGAAAAAATAGATGACTTTGACAAAAGTGCCATTAGAAGAAAAGTACATCACTTTTTCTTCA